TTGGTAAAGTTATAGTTCTTGTGTCAATAAAGATGTAATTCTTGTGTTGATAAAGTTGTAGTTCTTGAGTCGATAAAGTTGTAGTTCTTGAGTCGATACAGTTGTAGTCCTATAGAGGCACAAACATCATCTCTGGGATTACAATGAGACTTTTAATGATCCACATTTGGGTTATTTATTTATGGTCAAGTTTGATGTTTTTGTTCCAGATTATTTTCGTCTTGATCCAAAAAACTTCAGCTTCTGGAAAACAAAGAACAAAACGTTTACTTTCACTCAGTTTATCAGAAACAACTTTTTATTTTTTTTTTATTTTTTTTTACGTTTGTTTGATTTAAAGCTCCACATAAGATATATTTTATTTATTAACAAAAGAACACACAGCCACACCAAGCGATGAATGCAACAGACGTGTGTAACACACATCATTGGTGACAATATTAAGTTACTTTGAAAATGTAATTTGTCACTAATTAGTTACTCAAATAAACAAAAATATTTCGTTACCCAAGAAAGTAACTACTTTCTTACAGTACTTTTCGATTTGTGTCACAAAAAAGAGAGAACAGAATCAAGTTACAGTATATGTTTGCTTTACTAAAGTCATTTGAATAAAGGTCAAAGACAAAGAAGTTCAATACTGGCTCCAATGCAGAACTTTTAGATGAAAGTATAGACTCTGGAAGCCAGTTCTGTCCGTGGCATAGAACAGATTGTTCTGCAGATTGTTCTGCAGAAGTTGGACCTGACAGCGACATTCAAGTCCAGGTTCTCACACGTGGCTGTGGTGCTGTCACACGCTCTTTAGCCACAAGATTAAAACAGTTGTGACTGTTATAGTTAAAATAGTGCCATATCTCCACCGGTCAATCTCACACTTGTTCATGTGATCAACGTGAGCCATCAGCAGCAGACGCTGTCTGAAGTGCAGTTCTAGGACGGTGTCGGCGCTACTCAGTATTTAGGTTGTAACTGTAATACAAGTACACATATTTTCATACACCACTGCATTTCTCAACACACTTTTGTTACTTTTGTACACTTAGCAACGTGTTACACCCAACACTGTTAACAGACACATGGTCCATCCACATGGTCCAGTCACATGGTGTGGTCACGTGGCGTGGCCACGTGGTGCGGTCACTTGGTGCGGTCACTTGGTGCGGTCACATGGTGCGGTCACTTGGTGCGGTCACATGGTGCGGTCACTTGGTGCGGTCACATGGTGCGGCCACTTGGTGCGGTCACATGGTGCGGTCACTTGGTGTGGTCACATGGTGCGGTCATGTGAGGGCTCCCATAATCACCAAAACTCATCAAACTAATCCTGCTTTTAATTCTGGATCACTTTCTTAAAATAACCCACGGCTGTCAGTTCAAAGTGTGTGTTAATGAGTTTGTGCGTATGCAAATTATTATGTGGGTGTGAGAGAGAGTGTGTGTGTGAGAGAGGGTGTGTGTATGCAAATTAGTTTGTGTGTGTGTGTGTTTTCCCCGAGGAGCGGTTCAGAGTGTGACAGCTCTGTCAGCTGACTGTCATCCAGCGCCTTCAGATCCACGACTGACGAGTTTTAAAACAAATGTCTCTTAGGACTAAACCAGGTCTGAACCAGGTCTGAACCAGGTCTGAACCTGTCATGGTGTGGATTTTGTGTTATTTTACTTGGTTTTTACTTGGTCCTGTTCCTGTATTGATGTGTTTCACCTGTGTCTGTGTCTATATGTACCCTGTGCTCCTCTCCCCTTGTTGCTGGTCCATTGTCTTGTTTCTGTCTTTGTCTGTGTTCCTGGTTCCTTGTTCCTGTGTTCAGTTTCGATTTTGACTTTGTTTTAACCTTGGATGTTATTTTTTATCTTCGTCATTAAATCATTATTTTGCATTCCTGTATTTTGCTTTTAATCATCAAGATTTTAAATTGGGGGCGGGCACTGCAGGACGGGAGCGAGAGACAGAGAAAGACGAGAGAACGAGAGAGGAAGAGGACACCGGACCGGGCCAAGGAGGAGCACCGCCAGCCAGAGACCACGGGGGACGGAGGCCAGCGGGGAGAGCGGCACCGGTGATGGGCGCGCATCGATAGCGCAGAAGGCGTGTGCGCCCCGGGCTAGGCCCACATCACGGCTGGGATGTGCCCGCTCTCCCCCATGGGTGCCCGGTGGCGACCCGTGGTTGGCGTGTGGCTGGCGAGACCGCGGCCCAGTCCCGGGAAAGAGAGAGACCAGAGAACGAGGACGGAGGAGGACGAGTGGACTGCAGGTTTTTATCTTCTTTTTAATGGATCCTTTTTGAAATTATTTATCCCCTTTTTATCCCGTTTTCCTTTTTCTTGATCACACCCCCTCAACAGACTCTTTCAACCTGTGACACATGCGTTAGCCGGCACTCATTCAATTCAAAGAGTGCCTTTCTAAGTCCACAGTGGCTTAACTAGACTGGTCCAAAAAAACACTCCTCTCAGCATTGACACGTATCTGGGCCAAGAGCTGACTTTTGAACCATCCTGTAAAGCAGTCTTTGAGAGTAAAGAAGACGCCATACAAACGGATTGGGTTATTCTTATTCTGGGTCCACCCCCACTGGCGCGGAGTGAGATTGCAAGTATGTCAGCGCACATGCTCAAGGACCTTTTGGAGCGGGGACCCACCCCCACTGGTCCCGCCACACAATAATAATGTTTTAATCTAGTTTCAAACTCTGCTCCTCTGGCTCTCGCTCTAACTCCCGCTCTGATGAACTGCTCTGATTGGTCAGAGCGCGGCCGAGCCCCTCTGTGCACGTGCGTGAGACCCGGTGTGAGACCCACACACGCGTGTTTGGCGCAACGCATTATGGGAGATCATCCACTGCACAGAACCGGGAGGACCAGACGATGCCCAAATACAGGCGAGTTTCCCATAGATCTTTGCGAGTTTCAGGCAACTTCCGCTAATCTTTCAGCCCCCATGCCGTCACAAAGCGCCACTGAGCACAACCATTCATTTGAATAGGGCGCCATCTTGGATCGCCGGGCCTTGCTGCAGCCCCAATGCAATCTCTGTTTGTAATTCAGGTGTGTAAAATACTGCCATTACTCCGCAGGTACAACAAGCTATCAGCGGCTGTCACTACACTGTGCAGTTTCTCTGCACACTTGTCTGTGTGGAGAAGCTAGCGGAGCTAGCCACGCTCAATAAACAAATACATATCAATCAATAAACACCATTAAACGTTAATCGGACAATACAGTATACATATACATCCTTAACACACATGCACGGACGATTTCAGAATTTGCTGTCAACGTTTTCATGACAAAAATACTGTTTTAAAGTGACAAAAAGCGATCGCGAAAAACCCGGAAGTTACCATGAAACAGCTAGCTAGCTTAGCTGTTACCTGCCTAGCACGTCCTGGTGAAACCTTTGGGAGCTAACTATTTTATTTGCAGTCATTAAATACATTTTGAATTATAAGGGCTGTCTAATATTTGTTCGAATATATATTTTTTATTTATTTTAGAATTATATTCAAATTTTGAAGTCGAAGCCCTGGTGTTAAGCAGCGCTGTAGAGGCTAGAGGACGCAGGCTGGTCGCTGCTCGTTCTGTGAGGGGAGGAGAACGAGCGGCCCGCTCAGACTCTACTCAGCACTTTTCACGGCATAAATTTCATACACATCTGAATCAATGACCTCAAGTTTTCAATTAAATTATGTATTATGATACAACTTGTATGTAGTAAAAAGCATTTTTATGAACTACTTAGTATAGCTTCAGCAACAGAGAATTAGAAATAATAATAATAATGACTGTTGTAGGGTGCTGTTTCAGCATTTTTGAGTCCCACAAAAATAAACATAAAAAACATAAATTTCTCGGCGGTTCTGAATTTTTGGCAAAATTTGGCACGTTTTCATGCATGTTCAGGGGGTCAAATCAATCGCCCATTGCCAGCAGAAGAAAAAAGAAAGAAAGAAAGAAATAAACCAAGGATTTTTAAAAAAGTCTCCGAGCAAAAACAATATAGGTTTCAATGGCACCTGATACATAATTTTAAAGCGTTTGAGTTTACGCATGCAACCGTCCTGTTTTGGTGAGTGACGGGCACTGACACGTTCGTCACGCACCGCCACCTCTTGCATTCACCATTGTGAAAGCAATAATAATGACAACAATGATAATAATAATAATAATAGCAGCAACGGAACATTAATGGTTCCTAAAGTTGTGAAGCTTCAGCTTCACAGAGCCGCAGTTACACCTTTGTTCTTCATGAGTTTTTGATCTCTGATTCATCTGTGAAACATTATCTGGGTGTGTGTGTGTGTGTGTGTGTGTGTGTGTGTGTGTGAAATATGAATTACACTTATGACTAATGAAACACCTAAAAACTCCTGCTTATTTACTCAAAAGTATTAATCCCTAAATTTGACTGTGGCTAATCGGGTGTGTGTGTGTTGTATGTGTGTATGTGATCCGTCCCAGGCGCAGCGGGGGGCAAGCTATTTGCGGCGAGGTGCTGGAAATATTTGGATTGTGGTGGCGGGGGTCGGTGTGACAGTGCGTGTGAGTGTGTGTGTGTGTGCATTTTGGTGTGTGTGAGATCGTCTCTCCCGCTGAGAACTCTGCTTTTGTCACAGACTTAAACGTGAAACAGGATTTGTCTGAGTCCAATTGAATGCTGTCATTATCCAGGAATCGACTACAGCCGTTTACAGCTCTGCTTTATTATATTTAAAAAATCCTAAACTCACATTGATCTGAAACAAGTCTGTCCCGGCGCATTGCTCTAAGTTCAAAATAAAACATTAATTGGTTTTGTGTATAAAAAAACAACTGAAAGAGGGCGCTTGTACCCTATTCCTTACATGTCTCTGATGTACAGTATAACTCGTCTGTCATAATTGCAGAGAGTTCGAGAGGCACGAACATTACGCTGGAATGACCAATAGGGGGCCACAGAACACCTCTCCAGGAGGCCATTTGTTTGCGATCCCTAATGTAGCAGATCTGGTCCTCACCTCAGCCGCTGGACTCCTCACTCAGGTCCGGTCTCAGGTCCAGTCTTCTGTCGGCCCACCTCCCAAAGACGCCCCCACCCTGGAGATCCGTAGGGGCCGGGAACCTGCAGAGACAAAGACCAGGGTTAGACCAGAGAAAGACCAAAGAGGTACCAGAGAGATCGGCAAGAGACCAAGACCAGAGACGAGAGAGAGACCAGAGAGAGGTCAAAGAGAGGGACCAGAGAATTCCATAGGAATCAAGACCAGACAACAGAGTGAGCCCAGAGAGAGCCCAGAGAGATGGTCTCTGATCTCCTTGTAGTTCATCACGTCTATTACCACGGCAACTCACCTGAAGTGCTCATGTGCTGTGCTAATGTTTTTGTTGAACCAGCTAAGCTCCGCCTCCTGTGCTCTCCCGTTGCTCTCATTGGTCAGGCCCTGGCAGCGTGGGCCAATCACCTCATAGCTTGGTAGCACACTTCCTGTTTTGCCATTGTACCAGCGCTGGCTCAGGTCGTCGAAAGACCAGCGTGACACAGCTTCGTCTGGAGCTGCGGGAGAGAGCGCATTACAGACGTGATCTAAGACTGGAGGCAGACTGCCTGATCTTTGTTTTACAAGAACGATTGATTTCACGCACGGTTCGGGTTATGCCCATATTCTTAACCAGGTCCAAAGCCGAGTGCACGGCGGGAGAGGCACAAACATAAGCCAATTAGAGCTAATTATCAATACAAATTTGGGTTTGGATATTCTATATTCAGAGTTCTAAAGTCTAAAGAGAGTAGAATGTTTTTAATGATTTATTGTTAATTACGGGGGGCGTTCATTTAAATATAATCTTCATTCTTTATATGAAGGAAAAACCGTCCGCGGGCGGCAGTGTTCCCGCTTCTCACCTTGGGGTTGTATCGCTCCTAAAGATTGGTATCGAAACATCTGAACATGACCTCACCTCTACTGAGCCCGAAGTCCACAGTGCCCCCTGGCTTCAGGCCATTGTGGAGACTCCCATTCCCGTGGTGCGCATTGGTCTGGAGCATGTTGACATGGTTCCCGTTGGTTTGAAGCCCATTGCTGTAGTGTCCGTTGGCATAGTGCCCGTTGCTGTGGAGCCCGTTGCTGTGGAGCCCGTTGCTGTGGAGCCCGTTGCTGTGGAGCCCGTTGCTGTGGTGTCCATTGCTGTGGTGTCCGTGGCCGTTGTGTCCGTTGCCATGGTGCCCGTTGCCGTGATGCCCGTTACGTTTGGTGCCCATGGAGTTGAGCAGCGCCTGTTCAAGATTGTCCCGTAGCGCACGCCTCTCGCCAAACCAGCTCTCAACCTCATTTCGGGACAAGCGCGCGGTCACGGCAAGTGCCTCAGCTTCTCCCTGCGATGGGAAACTGTTCCTCAGGAAGCTCTCCTCCAAAACCTTCAGCTGCTCTGAGCTCTTGCCCTTCATCCTTTCCAGCAGCGGAAACTGGGTCAGCACGTGCGCCTTTTGCTGCAGCTCGCTCTGGGGGTCTTCTGCGTGCGGCCCGGTTGCCACACTTGCCTCGTTCCACGTCCCACTAAAGCTGTCTCCGTTTGGCGCGTTGCCCCTGAGCGCCTGAATGACCGCGGGGCGGCGTAATTGAGGCGCAATGAGCGGTGTGGAGTTCTGCAGCGCACCATTGGGTAATGAGATGTGCGCCTTGGATGCACTCATCTTGAACTGCGGCGCGAAGATTGGCGGCGGCACGATCAGCGGCCGCGTGAGCGACTCAGGGAACACAATAGACGGCAGTGATACTTTGGTTTTACTGCCGTTAACTACGTTCACTTTGTTCCTCAGCGGCGTCTGCAACAACGGCAGCGAGCGCTTGGTCTCGTTAGCTCGTTTGGCGTCTGTGGGTTTGTGCTGCAGGGGGGGCACAGGGGGCGGGGCCATGAGACCTTTGTCTCCGGGGTTTGGTGCCACAGCCATCACCGGCCGCTTGGACTCGGGGCCTAGCGCAGGTGCATTCAGGATGCGCTTCAGGCCGTTTGCGGCGGGGTTGGCGCAGGTCCTTGTAGGTGTTCCATAGTTCCTCAGGCAGCTCCTCGCCGGAGTGCAGAGCGGGCTTGTGGGCAGCACGGTAAAGGTGCTGTGCATCTGGGGAATTGTGCCATTGAACATCTTCTTGCGCGCCTCCTCCACCTCCTCAGGCGACCAGCTGATGCCCTGCTTCAGCCGCTGCGTAGTGAACCAGACACGGATCTGCTCCTCCGGGTGTTTGGAGGCCGCCGTGAGCCAGGACAGTTCTGCGTGCGTGGGGTACGGGAAGCGGTGGAAGGAGGCCATAAGAGTGGCGTTGTCATCCAGCGACGGGTTGTACTTAAAGGTGTTCAGCGGCACGGCAATCTGAGCCACGCGGCTGAAGTCAGGAGGCCGCTGGAGCTTTGGTGAAACATGCAACGTGTCCTTGAGAATGCTCGCCTCAGGAATTATCACTGTGCCGTTGATTCTCAGCGCGCGGATCTGCTCCAAACGTCTGATCAGCTGACTTGTGGAGTTGGGCGATGGTGCACTCTCTGCTTCCACTTGATCTGAAACCGTGTGTGCGTTTATGCGCTGTTTTTCCCTCGTCACGGGCTCTGAGCACATCTGTCCGTGCGCGCTTGGGCGTTCTTCTGCTTCCATCATCTGCTCTGAAGTGGCCGCTGCGCTGAGGCTGCGGTCGACCGTTTGCCCCGCAAACGTTTCTGTGTTTTCTGTCTCAAAACCATCGTTTCCATTTGCACTTTCCTTGTGTCCGTTCTCGCTCTGCAATTGGGCGACCGTGTGCTCCGTGCTTTCACTTTCTGATTGCTCTAAAAGATTGTTCATGATTTCCTGTTCCTCCACTGTGTGCTCTGGAGCCTCACGTTCCTCTCCTTCCTCTGAATGCGACCGCTCTGTGCTTTTGCCTTTGTCTTCTGTTTCCACTAAAACATCAGTCGCACTTTCCTTTTCTTCCGCCGTTTGCTCTGAAGGCACCGTTCCATATGCGCTCTGGCTTTGCCTGACACTCTGCTCCTCTCTCTGTGCCCTGTGGCTCTGCTCTTCTTCTATTATTGTCTCTGAGAACAACGCCGCATCTACTTTTTCCCCATCCCTTTCCGTTTGCTCACACATATCGCCTGTGCTTTCCTTTCCTTCGGCGGTGTGCTTGCCGCTCGGCCCTGAAGCCGCGTCATCTTGCGCTCGACTATCCTCCCCTTCCACCGTCTGCTCCAGCAGCGTGTATCCGTCCACACTCTTCTTACGGTACTGGAATGCCGCCTCTCCCGGATGCGCCTCGTCGTTGTGCTCTGTCAACGCGTCAAACTTCTTGGTCCGGAAGCCACACTGCACGCACAGGTAGACTGGGTTGAGGATGACGTCCGGATGGCTGGAGTCCACATGGTCTTTGAAATCGCCCATGCTCGGAGACGCGAAGGGGCAGTACTTGCATTCAAATACTTTGGGTGGTTTTTGCGGTTCGCCCGGACACTGGTTCTCCTTCTCCGATGCGTCCGGCTGCTCCATCGCGCTTATGTCTTTGTCTGCGGCTTCCTTTCGGTCGTGGTGCTCCGGAGATTGCACCATGCACGGGTTGGAGTTCTTGCGTCGGCTGGACATGGTGCGCAGCTGCTGGTGGCTGAAGAAATGCTGGTGCTGATGCGTTAGTTTGGTGCTGGTGAAGTTGTGAAGATTTTTGGTTTCAGGATTGGCTGCTTTTGGTGGTGCTGCAGCGGCATCACCAGCTGAAAGAGACGGGCACAGAAGTTAGTAATGTTTCCAGTATTATAAATACACAATGGAAAATAGTGTTTCATGATATTTAAAATGAAAATGAGGTTAGAAACCTCTGACCCTGATCATAAGTCTGCATCCCCAAATAGCGTGTGTTGCAACATCTATAACAGCTAGGCGTCTTTTGTGGTAGTTGTGGATCTTTCTGTTCTCTCTCAAGTCTCTCTCTCTCGCTCTCTCTGTCCTTTCTTGGGTCTCTCTGTAGTGTCTCTCATTTCTGGTCTTTCCCTTGTCTCTCTCTCTAGTCCTTCTCTGGTCTCTCTCTGGTCTATCTAGTGTCTTTCATCTCTGGTCTCTCTCTCCGGACTCTCTCACTGGTTTTTCTCTTGTCTCTCTCTGATGGTGGAGCTGCCCATTCTTCTTGGCAAGAAGCCTCCTTTGCCGCCTCACATAAAGATTTCAATGATTCAATATGGACAAAACAATGAAATTTGTCTGTTGTGTGTGAGTATATGATGAAAACCTGTCATAGTATTCTCAGTACTTTCAGCAGTATTTTTTGAGCTGCGGTCTTAAACTTTTCTCTCATTCGTCTTTCACAATCTGACTGAACGGATGTATTTGTGTGAATCTCGTGCTGAGAGTTTTTTGAAGTTTTAACCTGCGTAAAATCATCACAAATAAAAACACAACGACTAATGACAGGCGGAACTCAGGCTCCTGTAAGCGGCAGAAAGACTTCAGACGGAGAAACTTCACACGGGTCACTCACCAAACCAACATCAGACAGAGATGTGACAATATTATTATAAAACAACATTAAACCCTCGGAATTATTTAAAGAGACAGTAATCTCCACTGGAACAAGAGCGAGATAAAACTTACTTTTAGAATGTAAATGAGTGAAAGAGTTCAAGTAAGTAAGTAATTTTTATTTATATAGCGCCTCAAACAGACCAGAGTCACAAAGCGCTTTACAATTCTTGTTTTGTTCTTTTGGGCATTTGTTTCTCACTCCACACAGAGATGGAAGTGGGGTCGCCATACAGGAGGCGCATGTTAGACCTGTTTCACATGTTTATGTGGTAGGGGAACCGGAGAACCCGGAGGAAACCTAATCAGAGAACATGCAAACCCACACAGACAGGCCTGGAGGCAGAATTGAACCAAGGACCTTTCGGCTGTGCTAACCACTGCACCACCATGTCGCCCTGGATAAGATCAGATGTTTTCCCCATCGGAAAAAAATTGGGCCCAAAACGCACCCCTGTGGTTCCCCTGCAGTGGAGACAGTGTTAGAACATGTTATTCTCTTTTCCATGTTCCAACACTGTTCCTCATCAGTCACAGCAACAGTGACTAGCTCCATACACACATACCACCATAGCAATTCTCCGCCCCAAATAGTCACTCACAGGGCTCTCAAGGTATGCAAATAAATAATGTAATTAAATGAAGATGGCCAGTTTTGGGATAAACTTGGGCTCAACCAACATAAATTATGATTGCATGTTATAGACCCAGCTTTAGTTCAGTGAGTTTAAGATGAGCTTCAGGTGGAAACAGGGTCATGTCAGTTCGGGCGTAGCTAAACAATGATGAAGATCTGCTGATGGGGAAAGACGATATTCTTGGCTTGCAGTCACGTGACGCATCAACTTCCGGTTAATGAAGTGGTGGTCAGGCCAACAAAAATTGCTGATGATATGCGAAGAAAATGCGACTCTTCTCCCGAGTGTTTTTGTATATATATATATATATATATATATATATATATTTCATGACACTTTGAAGCTACTGTGGTTAAGTTCTAACTCAGCATTCTAACAATATGCACAAGGCAGTATTTTTCCACTCCATGTTTTGGTAATATCAAGGTTGAAGCTTCTGGCACCGCGGCGAATGCTGATAGGAGGTCTCCATTCCCCCGCTGTATAGTATAACTTACATTCTGTATTGTCTTTGTTCGTGCTGTCTCTACCATCAACAATAAAACATGTCTTCTGTCTGAATTAAAGACACGTTCCTAGACTGTCATTTTCTTCACTTTAGATTCTAATTCTTGAGATCGATACATTGAAAAAGTCAAATTGTGTAACGGTATAGACCCTAATGCGTTATCCAAGAATGATTTGATTTGCGAGTTAAAAAAAATATCCGCCAGTTCAGTTTCCGGATATCTCAAACTATCTGGTGTTACAATCAAGTTTTTGCACTGCTAAACAAATGAAGGCTTGGAAAAGCATAGATGCTACAACTGTTAAAGAACTCAGAGTTAAGGTCCTGAAGGACAAATCCTGCATCGTAAAGAGCCGTGTAAGTGACGATTGGTATGAACTTGTCATTCTCAATAAAAGATGCTTCAACATGTGGCTGTGTTCTTTTCAGTTCAAACATTCACAGTGTTTATCTAAAACGCCAGCTCATACCTGAAAGTGAATCAAAAAAAGATGAGGATGTATTAACTGCGCATTGTGACTGCATGGCTGGGTAAATAAATAATCCTTCGATGTAAAAGCATTTGCAAGTGAAATGTTAGCGAGCCACTTTTCTCTGCGTCTTTTCCTAAAGTCCTTAGTGCGAGGCCCTTTATTAATCTCTTCACGAGGAACCCTAAAGTTTCCATTAAAGGTTTTGCGATTCGATCACTTAGAACAAACTAAAACGACACACGCAAAAGGCATATTCAGACACGCTGCTCTAGAAAACAACTAGCTCTGCTGACCACCAGTTTGTGTTACGCATAAGTAATGAGGCGGACGTCAATTGAAAGCAAGCAATTGCAGATCTGTCTTCTTTAAGCTGATTCAAAATACTTCTGATGGATTTAGCGCAACAAAAAAAGATTACAAATTTTGACACCATTTCACAAAATTGATGACATTTTACACATTATAATTAAGAAGATGGACATATATAAAATCAACCAAAAAAGAAAAGGATTCAAGGAGGTAGGACTCAATGAGGAAGGAGATGAGGAGGTAGGATTCAAGGAGGTAGGATATATAGGGCATAAGGAGGTTGGAGACAAGGAGCGAGAAGACAAGGATGTAGATCATAAGGAGGTAAGAGACAACAGAGGAACACTTCAGACCGCTCCCAAAGATGCTGCTGTGTTTTATAAATGTATTCGTGAGTCAAGCCCTGAACAATAATGTTTTTAGAGTTCGCTTCTTCTGAAACACGAACATTGTCAAGACAGAAATTCAAATATATGAAAACGAAAATTTGAAGGTTTGAAAATCAATACATATATTTTTTTCTCCCTTTCAAATTTTAAACTGGGGGAAATCAAGGACGATTCTGAATCCAATTATCTCAAACTCTCTCTTTACTCACGTTTCAGATTCAGCGAAAAAACAAAAAAGTCCAAATAAATGTGAGAAAAGAAAGTGTGATTTTTTATAATTCCACTCTATTTTCTCTGAACTCAGTGGATTCAGAGTCAGTGCTGGAGCAGAATGGTTGTCGGGCTGTTGCCGGGCTGTTGCTGGGTAGTTGCCGGGCAGATTACGCACACTCAAACATATCACTTTTTAATTGGAGTTTTCCACAGATTTGAGATTTTAGGATTTGGCTGTGTTTCTATCAGTGTTTCAAAGCAAAAAGAAAGGATTTGGAAATGTAGTTAGGGTACTGTTTGTTTAGACAAAGAACAATTTACCATAATTTTAAATTGAATTCAATAAAACCAAGTGAAAATACTGTAAGTAAGTAAGTAAGTAATCCTTATTTATACACCGACTTCACAGACCAGAGTCACAAAACGGTTTAAAATTGTTATTTTTTGGGCATTTGTCCTCTCACTCCACACAGAGATGGGAGCGGGGTCACCAGTACAGGAGGCGCATGCCAGAGCTATTGTACATATTTTTTGTGATAGGGGAAACCGGAGCACCCGGAGGAAACCTACGCAGACACGGGGAGAACATTCTAACTGCACTCGGAAAGGCCCTGTTCCGACCTCGATTCGAACCCAGGACCTTCTTGCTGAGAAGCGAGAGTGCTATCCACCGTGCCTGTCTCTTCTCATGTTCAACAATGACCTGCAGCTGTGTTTAGTTCCATCCACACTGATTTGAGAAACCCCCGTCCATTCTGTCTAAAAGCTCTGTTACACTGTAGGACACAGGTGTCAAACACTAGGCCCCAGAACTGAATTCATTATTATTATTATATCAATATTATGCATTTGCTGCGTTGATGGGTGATATTTGTTAATAAGGACCAGGACGTGTTATACCTAATTTCAAAGCTTTATCAATGAAACCACCTTAGTCATTGTATAGTTTGAACCTAACATTTAATTATATTCAGTTAAAGAATAACACATCAATCAACCATTCCTACTTTGGTTCAGCGGTGGATGAACTAATTTTGTTTAGAAAAATCCTCCATAAAATAATATAATATAATAAAATATGAAAGTAATCCTTTTAGTCAGAATACCTAAATCATGTTAAACGATGAGGCTGGGGGACTTCCTTATAAGGGCCATATTATTATACATCACATTACGTCCCAACCAAAGGTTTGCTTTCGGCTTTTGTAGTTATTTTTGTAACTTCTTCAGAATGTGGGTCTGGACTTTGGGTCTGGACTTGGTTGTGCTTGGTCTGAATCTGAACCAGATATTCAGAGATTCTGAATTGACAGATGAATTGCCTTTGGCTTTAATCTTTAGAATAAAATACATAATACTCTCTCTTTATCTCTGTGCATGTTTGTGTGGAACAGTTTGTGTTACACCAGATTGTATCTAATCTGCAGTCTCACAGTCACACTCTCAAAACAATCATCGACTATTGTGATTTAGTGGTAGGGGAAACCGGAGCACCAAGAGGAAACCCAGACTCTAGGAGAACCTTCAAACTCCTTATATAAATGCCTTGTCTGGAGGTGGAATTGAACTGAGGAAATTCTTGCTGAGAAGCACAAGTGCTAACCACTGCGCCACCGGGTTGCTCTTCTTTGTCATCATGATGTCAGACCATCGGCAGCGAGTCCTAAGTAGCTGTGAAACAGTTGTTGTTGTGTGCTATACAATTTTTATTATACTTTTTCTTGCTTTTTTCTTCCTGAGATGATGCTGCAGTTTATGGTTTTGCACTGGTTCAGACTAGAGCAGTTGAAGTATTAAGCCTTTTACTTTGGACTAGAGCAGAGAAAATGGTCCGAATCAAGGGGCTTCTCCACCTTCTGACCTGTCCTGCTTCACCCAGCCCCAGTGATCCAAGATGGAGCCCTAGTCAAATGAATGGCTTGTGCTCAGTAGTGCATGGGACTTCCTGGGGACCGGGAGATTAGTAGAACTCGCCTATATTTGGGCATCGTCTGGTCCTCCCGGTTCTGCGCAGTGGACGAGCTCCCATAATGCGTTGCGCCAAATACGTGTGTGTGGCTTTCATGCACGTGCACAGAGGGGCTCGGCTGCGCTTTGACCAATCAGTGGTGAAGCGTATGGAGGACCAAAAATGACTAAAGTATAAATAAATAAATAAATACAGGAATATATTAATAAATACATTCATTTTGGACAATAAAAACTAAATATTTACATTGATGTGTTAAATATTACTATGAAATCAAATAAATATACTTTTATTTAGGTTATTTATCAAAATCTACATTTTTTCCTTTATTTATTATCCATTTATTGCATATATTTATTTATGTATTTCTAAATTTCTTCATTTATTTATTTATGTATTTCTACATTTCTTCATTTATTTATTTATGTATTTCTGTGTCGCTACATTTCTTCATTTATTTATTTATGTATTTCTACATTTCTTCATTTATTTATTTATGTATTTCTACATTTCTTCATTTATTTATTTATGTATTTCTACATTTCTTCATTTATTTATTTATGTATTTCTGTGTTGCCGTATGCTAATTAGGCGGGCGGTGCTGAACTCAATCTAGAACAGGATTGGTGGGCAGTAGGTCAGCCAGGGCAACCAGACAGAAGCAAAGTTAAGCCTAGCGTACATCGACAGAGAAACTGGAGACAAGTTGCAAGGCGGCTTTTGGCAACTGAGAGGAGATGATGGAGATGATCAGTTGAAATCGGTCGATGTGCGCGCTCTTACAACTGGAGATGAACAGTCGGTCTCCAGTTTCAGTCAGTTGCCCGTGTTCTACTTTTCGGCAACTAGTTGTCCTCAGTTTTCGAGATATGACCCGATGTGCGCGCTCCATGCGCCGCTCCGACAATGTGTGTGTATTGCGTGTATTGCGAGCCCGCAACAGTTTATGTCAGAAAACACACTGTAGTTGAGGCCAGTTGCTGTCGATGTACGCGCTGTTATTCCCGAGACTGGTCTGCTACTGGGAGTTGCCCGTTTTCGTCAGATTGTCGATGTGTGCGGGGCAGCAACTCATATGCGACGGATATAATCAGTTGCCAGTCCGATGTACGCTTGGCTTTAGCCTTCTCGGTTTGTGAGAGGATGTGAAGCTTCTGCTTGTTGAAGAGCGTCCAGCACAGTTGCATCAAAGTCTACCTCTGGGTCAGCACTGTGATGAACTAAAACATTTAATAGTCTTTCCAGCCGAAAGAGTAGATAGTCCTCAGGTGCATTATGCTCAACATCATTAACATAATTTTCTAATGCTCTTAATTGATGAGCAATGGCTCCTAAAAAACTTACATTCGAAACTGCCATCATACCACACAAAAGTGCACAGAGGATCTCTAGCTAGCTAACAGAGTACCGTAATGTGAGGCAGTAATGATTATGATCGAGACCAGAGTTCACGCAATCCTAACCAATCCTGTTCTAGATTGAGTTCAGCACCGCCCACCTAATTAGCATACAGGAACACAAAAATACATAAATAAATAAATGAAGAAATGTAGCGACACAGAAATACATAAATAAATAAATGAAGAAATGTAGAAATACATAAATAAATAAATGAAGAAATGTAGCGACACAGAAATACATAAATAAATAAATGAATAAATGTAGAAATACATAAATAAATAAATGAAGAAATGCAGCGACACAGAAATACATAAATAAATAAATGAAGAAATACATAAATAAATATATGCAATAAATGGATAAATAAATAAAGGAAAAAATGTAGATTTTGATAAATAACCTAAATAAAAGTATATTTATTTGATTTCAGAGTAATATTTAGCATATCAATGTAAATATTTAGTTTTTATTGTCGAAAATGAATGTATTTATTAATATACTCCTGTATTTATTTATTTGTTTATTTATTTATACTTTAGTCATTTTTGGTCCTCCATACCTTGTCATCCTGAACTTTTATTCTTCTTAAATCCGGTTTTCTTTAAATCCACACTGTACTGCCACAAACTCTGCTCCTTTCCTTCCCGCTCTGAGTTTGTGGCAGTACAGTGTGGATTTAAAGAAAACCGGATTTAAGAAGAATAAAAGTTCAGGATGACAAGGGACACAAAAATCCCCACAAAATCAGATATTTCTGAAAGCTGTAGGTTTTAATTTACATTGAGTTCTATGGGACTTTTTTCTGGGTAGCCCACATTAATTTTGTCTGCAGTACCACGGGCGCCCCCTGTGCCCATGGGTGGGACAGCTATAAACTAGTAATACCCTATCCAGTTATTATTATAGATCCATGTGCTTCACCCAGAGGCTACTGCTACTCCATCTCTGCTGTTGTGACCTGAAAGGCTCTTGCTTATTATAAATATTGTTAGCTTTTTAGAATGATCAATTTTTATTTTTTTCTATCTATTTATCTATTTATTGATCTATCGATCATCATTATAATGTCCCAGTGTGTGTTTCAGGGCGTGATGATGGGACCCCTGAACTCTTCCTCTCTCACCTGCACCCTTCTTCAGTCCTGCACAACACAGCCTCAGTCCTGGTCTCTCTCTCTGGTCTCTCTCTGGTCTTCCTCTGACTGAATTCGGAAGTGGGAAGTTTGTTTTGAAATGCTCCAATCTTCCATGTGATGAAAAGCTGACGCGGTTCCAAACAACACGCCCAGCTTTCCCACTGTTGTTCCGAGTCGGCAGAGTGAAATTGCCTATAGTGTAAGTCTGAAAGAAGAGCATTCAGACAGAAGGGGCGGGGGTTCCTGATTTAGTGTGGATGAGGAAAACTCACTTTGATTTAAATATTATTCAAATTATTAAATAACAAATGAGAAAGTCAATTTTTCATTCAATCTGAAAATGTCTCATTTTTATTGAATTTGTTAAAAACCAGAAGAACATTTAAATTCCCCGTCTCCGGGCAAACACACAGTCTCCATAGCAACAGTTGCCCCTCTGCCGTCACCGCGGTAACAGGCTTCACTAATTAGGAACCAGGTCTGAACCAGGAATGAACCAAGACTGAACTAGGTCTGGACCAGATCTGACCCAGGGTCTGGACCAAGTCTGGACCAGGACTGAACCAGGTCTTTTAAGGAGACTTAGAATTCATTTAGGAAAAAGCGATTTATTTTTTAATCAGTTATTGTAAAACAACCGGGTGATTCTCTCCTGGAGCAGTGTTCCACGTTGACACAGAAACCACTGGTCTGAACTGGTCTACTGGTCTGAACTGGTCTGAGTTGGTCTAAACTGGTCTGAACTGGTCTGAATTAGTCAAAACTAGTCTCAACTGGTTCAGTTCAGCCTGTTCAGTTATTAGGCGGCTACGCGCTCCTAATATAACATAACAATTAAATAAAAGAAAGAAAAAGACCAACAACGCCAGGGCAAGGGTGAATAAAAAGCACACTAAGGCGCACAGGTTCGTTAACCATAATTAGAGGCATTTATTACAATTTATTATGTTACAATTTATATTTAGCGGCTGGTGCTCTGTGAATTGGGTGCAGCTCTGACTGCCACCCCCCAACCTAGAAATGGATTAAGGGGAAGAAGATGGATGGATGTATAGTTCAGTTTTCTTGTTTCAATACAGTATGTTTTGTTACATTTCTTTTTTATATTCACAAGCGCACATCTTCCTGTCACGAAGGACTCTGGAGCACAGGTGGACACACAAACAGAAACCCGGGAGAACAGGGAGAGAAACAGTGGTGGGCTGCGATGTGGCCAGTCCCCAGCCTATGGATTAAAGTTGAGTTACTACAAAGCGCAACACCATGCTATTGACCGGTGACGGTCTGAGCCAAACCCACTGCCGGCTACGACACGCTCGGACCCCAACAACGAGGGCGGCCAGACGCCAGAGCGACAGGTCACTGAAGAAACGTAAATGTTATTGGTTGTAAGTTCTGGATCGTAACGTGCACAGTAGAACTCTTCTACCTGAAGCAGGAGAAGGCTGGCGTGGCGCAACACCGGGAGGAAGTGCAGACGTAAAGATGTGACAAGAAGCTATTTATACTGTCATTATGCGCCCTCTACTGGACAGAATTATTGTGGCCAAGTCCAGTTTGCAGGGGCGACAGTAGCTCAGTTGGTAGAGCTTTGGCCTTTGGGCCTGAAGGTCGTGGGTTCGAGCCCACCGTAAGACCTACTTCACGACTCCCACTGATGACTGCTGTCGTTGTGTCCTTGGGCAAGACACTTAACCCTACTTTGCCCAAAGCCCCAACTGAAAGATCTCAGCTCCTGTGGACTCACCACCTGCAGGAGGATCAGTGAGGGGCTGGTGCTATGTGTACTGGGTGCAGCTCTGACTGCCACCCCCCCGACCCAGAAATGGATTAAGGGGAAGAAAATGGATGGATGGATGGAAGTCCAGTTTGCCACATAAAGACAAAGACAAAGAAACAGGAGAAGGGTCTAAACCAGATTAAACTGGTCTGAAGCAGATTACCTGGTGGAGCTGGTCACAGGTCAATTGGTCATGGTTGTTTCACCTGAAACAGACACAAACAGTTAAAGTTTAAAACTATATAGTCTCAGAAATAATCAATGTTTTTAAAGTGATTGTCTGGAGTTTGTCAGAAAGAGAGAGAAAAAGGTACTTGATTTAAAAAAAAAAACGACGCAAGCTCCCTCCCCCTTCCTTTCTGATTGGTCTATGCCTACGTTTCCGTAACACTTATAAATGTTAATCAGAGAACACATTATAAATATACATTATTAATACACATGCACGGAGGTTTTCAGAATTATTTGTTAACGTTTTAATGAAAAAAATAATGTTTTCATGAACAAAAAAAGCGATCGCGGCAAACCCGGAACAAGCTATTATCATGAATTGCACATTATAGGACACATCTGCAGAGGATCTGATTATGGATATAGTTTCAGTATATAAATAGGTAACTTAGCGCAGATGTTCAGAATTCTTTGTTCAGTTTTCATGTAGTTCCAGAGCCTAATAGAGGCTTGATTCGGAGGCTCCGCAAAAACAAACAACTGAGCATGCGCCCAGCTACGAGCATCAGCGTGATGATTGACTGGCATGACTCGATTGGTTGACCTCGACGGCACCGTGGATTCTGAACTATAGCTAAGAGAAGGGAAGGCGGGACTTGCCCGTAATATTAGAATTAATAAAATGACTTATTCTATATCAACATTTAAGGCCAGGAGATCAATTTAACACATTTCCTAAAATTTGTAATTCATTTAGAGTTACAGACTATCACTTTAAACTTTTTCTCCACAACGAGGGTGAACATTAAGGCTAGGGTGCAAAACATTAAAGCTGAGGTGCGTAACTTTGAGACTGCATCTACAGTACATAACTCTGTTTTAAACCTCCGTCTCTACTTCCTGGCTGTAACACAGTTTGCTTTTATCACTTTTCACATACTGTATTTTTCTGGCCTTTAGATCAGCTTTTTCAGACCCCCTCACTCAGCCAATCAGCTTTCAGTCCAAAAAGTCAGATAGTGACTTTCAGGGTAGTATTGTATCATATTGTAATAATTTTTTAAAAGCCAAAGATCAAACTAAACCAGAACTAAACCTGGTCTGAAACAGGACTAAACCAAGAATGGCTCAGGACTAAACCAGGACAGAACCCGGACTAAACCAGGTCTGAAGTGAGTCCATTGTTTAGTTAATTGCACTTTGATTGACAGCAGCTCATTAAAATCCACTAATGACAAAGTCCCAAATGTAGACTAAAAATATCACTAATCCTTTATAATCCAGAGATCAGACCAGAGACCAGACCAGGGACCAGACCAGAGACCAGAGAGAGAGTAGACCAGAGACCAGAACAGAGACCAGAGAGAGAACAGAACAGGGACCAAACCAGAGACCACATCAGAGACCACATCAGAGACCAGAACAGGGACCAGACCAGGGGCTAGACCACGGACCAGAACAGGGACCAGAACAGGGACCAAGAACCAGATCAGGAACCAGAACAGTGACCAGAGATCAGTGAAAGACCAGAATGAGAGCAGAGAGCCTCTGTAATAAAAGTGATGCTCGGTTCTAATCTTCATTTTGGTCTTTTTTCTGGTCTCTCCGGTCCCTCAGGAAATTGCCTCAAACACATTTTTATTAAAGTCAAACACAAATGAAGAAGAAAAGAGAAAAAAGAAAGAGGAACCGGAGTCAGAATATTTGCCTGAAATTTCACCACCAAAATCAGACAAGATCAAGTTTGGAGTCACTGCAGTAATGTTATAATAAGTAGTGTATATGTATGACCAGAAAGAGACCAGAGAGAGACCAAAGAGAGAGACCAGAGACACCAGAGAGAGACCAAAGAGAGAGACTAGAGACACCAGAGACGCCAGAGAGAGATAAAAGAGAGACCAGAGAGAGACTAGAGACACCAGAGACGCCAGAGAGAGACCAGAGGCTCCAGAGAGAGACCAAAGAGAGAGACTAGAGACACCAGAGATGCCAGAGAGAGACAAGAGAGAGACCAGAGAGAGACCAGAGACACCAGAGAGAGACAAGAGAGAGACAAGAGAGAGACCAGAGAGAGACCAGAGACACCAGAGAGAGACAAGAGAGAGACCAGAGAGAGACCAGAGACACCAGAGAGACACAAGAGAGAGACAAGAGAGAGACCAGAGACACCAGAGAGAGACCAAAGAGAGAGACCAGAGGCACCAGAGACACTAGAGAGAGACCAGAGAGAGACCAGAGAGAGATCAGAGAGAGACCAGAGAGAGACCAGAGAGAGACCAGAGAGAGATCAGAGAGAGACCAGAGAGAGACCAGAGAGAGACCAGAGAGAGACCAGAGAGAGATCAGAGAGAGACCAGAGAGAGATCAGAGAGAGACCAAAGAGAGACCAGAGAGAGACCAGAGAGAGACCAGAGAGAGATCAGAGAGAGACCAGAGAGAGATCAGAGAGAGACCAGAGAGAGACCAGAGAGAGACCAGAGAGAGATCAGAGAGAGACCAGAGAGAGATCAGAGAGAGACCAGAGAGAGACCAGAGAGAGACCAGAGAGAGATCAGAGAGAGACCAAAGAGAGACCAGAGAGAGACCAAAGAGAGACCAGAGAGAGACCAGAGAGAGACCAGAGAGAGATCAGAGAGAGACCAAAGAAAGAGACCAGAGGCACCAGAGACGCCAGAGACCAGAGAGAGACCAGAGACACCAGAGAGAACAGAAAGAGAGACAAGCGAGACCAGAGAGAGATTAGGGATACCAGAGAGAGAGACCAAAAGGAGGGAACTGAGAGAGACCAGAAAGAGAGAGACCAAAGAGATAGACCAAAAGGAGGGAACTGAGAGAGACCAGAGAGAGAGAGACCAAAGAGAGAGACCAGAGAGAGACACCAGAGAGAGATCAGAGAGAGACTAGAAACATTAGAGAGACCAGAGAGACAGAGAGACCAAAGCAACAAAGGGAGAGTCCAGAGAGAGAGACCAGCGAGAGAGAGACCAGGGAGAGAGAGAGACAGAGAGACAGAGAGAGAGCAGAGACAGACCAGAGAGAGAGAGACCGAACAGAGAGAGACCAGAGACTTTGTTAGCTGGTCTGTGTTAGCTTGGTTCACATTAGCTGGGTTTATGTGGGGTGAGCTGTTAGCTGAGGTTAGCTGAGGTTATGGGTCCACACCACACAGAGTTAGCTTGGCCCTCATTAGCCCAGGTTAGCTCATGTTAGCTTGTGTTAACTCATGTTAGCTCGAGCTAGCCTGTGTTAGCGTTAGCCTGTGCATTTGCCTGTGGTGTTGGCTTGGCTCCAGCTCTACATTCTTTGGCAGCACGACTCGTTCTCTGCTTCTAACACTTCCCTCTTTTCTTTACAACAAGAACTCCACAAAGGCCGGCTTCAGACCCGGTCCAGACCTGGTTTAGTACTGGTCCAAACTTGTTCCAGACCTGGTATAGTACTGATCCAGACCTGGTCCAGACCTGGTCTATACCTGGTCTAGACCTGGTCCAGACCTGGTTTAATCCTGGTCCAGACATGGTCTAGACCTGGTTTTGTCCTGGTCAGAAGTGAAGTATACATTTTGTTCATATACAAACAGAATTCAGCTAAACATCTTTAAAGAAGAAATGTTATGTAGTGTTTTTGTCCAATAAAACATACAATGAAAAGGTAGAGATTACTTTGTCCTTCCATGTTGTAGAATATGAAACAATATTTTCAGTAGAAAATATACAGATACATTTTACATCTGTTCCTAAGCTCCCTAAGCTGCTACCAGAGGGAGCAGCATCTACAGTCAGAGCTCCCTGTTACTTGAGTGTGATGTCCTAATGGTCCAATGATATCATTGGAATCAGAGTCCATGAGAGGGACAAGAAAGGCCAGAGAGCGTTGGTGTGTGTCTCCACTGCAGGAACCTCCCCCACAGGGCCATTGACAGGAACTTTTACAGGAACCAACCAAGCCTCGGTGATCCAAGATGGGGCCCTATTCAAATGAATGGCTTGTGCTCAGTAGCGCATGGGACTTCACGGGCGCTGACATATCAGACGAACTTGTCTGGTTCTCCCGGTTCTGAGCAGTGGATTATCTCCCATGATGAGTCGCGCCAAATACGCGTGTGGCCCTCATGCATGTGCACAGAGGGGCTCGGCTGCGCTTTGACCAATCAGAACTGTTGATCAGAGCGGAGTCAGAGCGGGAAGGAAAAGAGCAGAGTTTGTGGCAGTAAAGTGTGGATTTAAATAAAACCGAAGGATTTAAGAAGAAAATAAGTTCAGGATGACAAGGGACACACAAATCCCGACAAAATCCGATCTTTATGAAATCTGTAGGTTCTCTGTCAGCTGAGGTCGAGCTGTTTTAATTTACATTGAGTTCTAAGGAACTTTTTTCTGGGTAGCCCACATGAATTTAGTCTGCAGTACCACGGGCGACCCTGTGACCATGGGTGGGACAGATATAAGATAGTAATACCCTATTCAGTTATTATTATAGATCCATGGAACCAACAGAGTACTTCCTGTGCAAGGTACTCCGTTTGGCCCAAAAGACCTTCTGGTGGGGCTTGAGGTCAAAGCACTGGGGATTCATCACACTCCAAAATAATGCACCCACAACAACTGGGTTCCAACTGTAAAATATAGAAATGGGTTTGGCGCACTGAGTTTCGCTGATGCGGCAATCAAAACTCATGACGTCGCCGCGGGGTCCTACTCTGGCCACTGAGAGGATCAAGGGAGAGGACAGTTCCTGTAGAAGTTCCATCCTCTCATTTTCCCAGGAACTCCTGCGGTGGAAACACAACAAGAGACCAGAAGGACCAGAGGGAGACACCAGAGAGAGAGACCAGAGAGAGACCAGATAGGAGATACCAGAGAGAGAAAAGGAACCAGGCTCGTACATCCCAAACAGACAGAATTAGCAAACATCGGAGGATTCGGTCTGAATTACACAAACGAGTGACAAATCCACAGCAGAGACGAGAATGTTTGTCGACTGTGATTCCAAATCCAGATCTGTGTTTGTGGCACATTTCACTGTTAAACTGTGGAAGTGTCATCTGCGCGAAGACGCTCCAGCTGTCCCTACCAGCACCAGCAGAAAAACCGTAAAACCAGAGACTGTAGCTCAAGGGAAGAACGCTGCAAAACCACAGTCACAACAGGGACAAGACTATGGATAATGACGGCGTAACGAGCCTTGGAGTTGTGTTTGGGTGAATGAAGCTCTCGCAGTCAGAATTTGGGATGTTGCACAGGTTGAAAAGTGTCTAGGTTTCTCCATGTGGATGCAAGATTTGTTGTAGTCTATTTTACTGTGATTCTTGCAGTTCTCACTCTGGTCTCTCTTTCTGGTCTCCCTCTTGTTTTTTCTCTCTGGTCCCTCTCTATGGTCTCACTCCCTCTGGTCTCTCTCTATGGTCTCTCTCTCTGGTCTCTCTCTCTGGTCTCTCTCTCTGGTCTCTCTCTGTGGTCTCGCTCCCTCTGGTCCCTCTCTGGTCTCTATTTCTTGAATCTCTCTGTCGGGTCTCTCTTTAGTCTCTCTCTGGTCTCCTCTTGGTCTCTCTCTGTGGTCTCGCTCCCTCTGGTCCCTTTCTGGTCTCTACTTCTAGACTCTCTCTGTCGGGTCTCTCTTTAGTCTCTCTCTGGACTCCCTTTGGTCTCTCTCTCTGGTCTTTCTCTGGTCTATCTCTATAGTCTCTATTTCTGTGGTCCTTCACAAAATGTTGAACATTGGTGATCTCCTACACGGTACATACACACAAACACTTGCAAACATGTACAAAAACACACTTTCATGCACACACACACACACGCCCACACACACATATGCACACGCAAACATGCACACTTCTTGTTTTTGAAATGGTTCACTCTGTTCTTTTGTTGTTAACTTGTATCAAACAGAAAGAAGAGAGAGACCAGAGAGAGAGAACCGAGAGAACAGAGAGAGAGAGAGACCAGAAAAAGAGAGAGAGACAAAAGACAGACCAGAGAAAGACTGGAGAAACCAGGGAGGGAGAGACCAGAAAGACAGACCAGAGACAAGACAAGAAGACCAGAAAGAGAGACTAGACAAGAAGACCAGAAAGAGAGACTAGACAAGAAGACCAGAGAGAGACAAGAGAGACCATGCTCCTGACAGAGGCCCTGGTGGCATTGGAAAAATTGATTGAATGCAGAGTACAATAAAGTACCACTTAACAAGAACAAGGAGGACGTTTGCAGAGTCACGACCAAAAAGAAAAAAGCTCGAACTCTCTCTCGCTTCTATTTGACTTACATGTAATAGTAAACTCCTCGAGCTCAGTAACCATTTGTGTCACACTCACCATTCTGGGCTTAAATCTGTGGTTTAGCGCTCTCTGTGATCATGCTCTTTATATTGTGATATTGTCTTTGTAAATCCAGATCCATAAATGCCATAAAAGAACTGACCAATCGACACGACAGCCTCTGTAACGGCGCGAAGCTCACAAAGTTGGAAAAAATTACCATATAAGGAAATTGGCTCCAGCTAGCTTTTTTTCAAATCGGCGCCTTCTATATAGTTTAAGATCATAACAAAGAAACCATTGGTCCATAAAATGTTCAAACATGTCCAGGTTCGTCACTGTCCTTAGACCTTCCTGCATCAGAAAGGGACCGCTAAAACTAAAGGTTTTGTATTATTGTGGTCTGAAAGAGAGAGAGAGAGAGACAGAGAGAGAGAGAGACCTTAGCGAGATAGACCAGAGAGAGACAAGAGACAGGGACCAAAGCAAAAGAGACTAGAACAAGGCCAGAGTGAGACCAGAAAGAGACCAGAGAGAGACCAGAGAAAGACCAATAGGAGACCACAGAGAGACGAGAGCGAGACGATAGAGAGACTATAGAGAGACTATAGAGAGACCAGAGAAAGAGAGACCAGAGAGAGAGAGAGAGACAAGAGAAAGACCAGAAAGAGACCAGAGAGACCGAGTTACATACTCCCACTATAAACCATGTACAAGCCCTTTCTAATTCTTTGGCAAATCTCCAAATCCATAACTTTAAATAACTGATGCAGAAGTATTCACCCCCGTGAACTTTTCCATAAACACAAATATGTCATTGTTGTGTGAGAGACAAACGCACAAGTAACACACGTGACGCCAAATAATCGCTTTGCTGAACTCACCGCAGGCTCAGGGCTCTAGTCCAATGGGCTCGCGGCGCTCCTCTGCCTCAACCAATAAGGCGCGAGCGTGATCGGCGTGGCGGCTGATGCACTGTGGGTAATCTCCAGGTGAGATTTGGTGAAAACGCCGGAAAGATCTGGAAAAGAGAGAAAGCAAAGAATGAAGAAAGAAGAGAGGAGAAGAGAGGAGGGAGGGAAGCACCAAATCCTGTTTCCACGGCAACCGCAACCAAAACCACAGCAACCAGCATCACCACCGCTGCAGAGGGGAATTAGAGGTGAGAGAGAGAGGGAGAACTGAACGGGGACTGAACCAGGTCTAAACCAGGACTGAACCAGGACAAAACCAGGACTGAACCGGGATTGAACTGGGATTGAACTGGGACAGAAGTGGAGACTGAATAGGGACTAAACTCGGACTGAATCGGGACTGAACCGGGACTGAAGTGGAGACGGAATCGGGACTGAAGTGGAGACTGAACCTGAACCGGGACTGAAGTGGAGACGGAACCGGGACTGAAGTGGAGACTGAACCGGGACTGAAGTGGAGACTGAACCGGGACTGAACCGGGACTGAACCAGGACTGAACTGCTACTGAACTGCTACTGAACCAAGTCTAAATAGGGAATGAACCATTTGAAATGGTTTTTAACCAACATTTGAAAAACAAAGTTAATTTCTAAAGAATTCTAATCTTTTACAAACGGCTTTGAAGTGAAAGCAAATAATAGAGAATAAAAACTGAAAACCTTCATACAGCAGGATGCTACCCCCCTGTCTGGCAGATGAGCAGAGCTAGTTTAACAAAATGGGAAAGGTTCAAATCGTATTAGTACAAGTTTTGTCGTGTTTATGGACATTTTGGCACGCATGAACGGCCTCTCTGGTGGACATTTTGGCACGCATGAACGGCCTCTCTGGTGGACATATGTCTTCTCGTCTCCATCTTGCTGAACACTTGTGTTGTTTGGCTTCTAAATGCCGGAATGTTTGATTTTATTTTGGATTTTACAGACGGAGCCACGTCCTGCCAAAACTCACAGCCGAAAGAGGAGGAGGAAGCGTCTGGGGAAGGGGGACGCACATGCACCGGGACCACTGCGTTTAAAGGGGAGGAGAAGGTGTCTGGGGAGGAGAGGAATGGAAATATAATAATTAAAAACAAAATGTCAAACAAAACACATTCTGATTTAAGTATTTAGTCTGACTTTAATCCCAGTCAGACCAGGTTTAGTCCAGGTTTAGTTCAGGTTTAGTCCAGGTTTAGTCCTGGTTTTGACCTTGTTTAGTCCTGGTTTAGACCTGGGTAACTTCCAGACCACACCAACAGATCTCTGTAATAAAAGTATTTCCGTCTCTGTCACATTTTTAGATAACCTTTTTCAGACAGAAAAGTGAAAAAGAGAGGACCACCCTCCATCAGCTCTCAGCCCGAAGAGTCAAATAGTGACTCAAAGAGCGCTTTCTCACACAAAAGATGTGTTTTCTGATTTGTTCACAACATTTAACTCTAAGACTCTTTCTGTTCAAACAATATTTATGAGACTAAAATTACAGACCGCAGCCATAAACATCAATTATTGATGAGACCAAAGTTTCGTAGCCCAGATCTGGTTTGGGACAAATATATCATTTGTTTATATTTTACATGAGACCAACTGTTATCAAACTAGTAGAAATACTATTTTTGTTAACACAATTCAATTTATTCAAAAGTTCAGAATCATTGGATAATAACATGAAACTGTAACAATTTGTCTCCTAACGAGACGACAGCCGCTCTGAGGTCCAGCTGGAGGTCTTAGGGTTTAGGGTTTGGGATCCACAGGTACAGTGCTGTTACAACAGTGTCATCAGTGAATCTGCGGGTTTCAAGGGAAAAGCAATGTGTGGAATCTGAACAGAAGGAAACCATTTACATCAGTGACAGTGAGAGGACTCCTATCTCTCCAACGACCTTTGCATGTAACTGTAATAATATAATCATAACGATAATGACAAAAATATTATCAACAATAATCATATTTTAAATCATTTTAAATAATCATTAAGCAGGATTTCATATTAAAAGAGGCATAAAACACATCAACATCTAAATACCAGATTAAACAGGACTTCAGTCTGAGTTCACGGCTGAAGACCAGGAGGACTGAAGACCAGGAGGACTGAAGACCAGGAGGACTGAACACCAGGAGGACTGAACACCAGGAGGACTGAACACCAGGAGGACTGAACACCAGGAGGACTGAACACCAGGAGGACTGAAGACCAGGAGGACTGAACACCAGGAGGACTGAACACCAGGAGGACTGAACACCAGGAGGACTGAACACCAGGAGGACTGAACACCAGGAGGACTGAAGACCAGGAGGACTGAAGACCAGGAGGACTGAACACCAGGAGGACTGAAGACCAGGAGGGACTGAAGACCAGGAGGACTGAAGACCAGGAGGACTGAACACCAGAAAAAGCCCCTTAACCCTTCTGGTCCCATATGAAGCATTCAAACGAACATGCTTGTAATTTAAATCACAGACTACTTCTGCTGATACTACTTCTGCTGATACTACTTCTGCTGATACTACTTCTGCTGCTACTACTTCTGCTGATACTACTTCTGCTGATACTACTTCTGCTGATACTACTTCTGCTGCTACTACTTCTGCTGATACTACTTCTGCTGCTACTACGTTTGATGCTGCTGCTACTGCTGAAGAACATTCTGTTCTTACTTTATTCATTTAGGAAAAAAACATGTGACATTCACACAAATGTGTTTCTGCTGAAGTCAAACTCTGATGTGTGTAGTTTCTGAAACAGCCTGATGACGGACGAACGAAGGATGTGAACGTGTGAATGCATCTGTGTGAGGAATGAGCACATGAACATAACATGATGCTGTTTTTAATGATCACAAAGTCAATCCTAAATGGTTTACATTTAAAACTGTTGTTTTAGCATCAATGTCTATATCATGTAGACTTTAGAAGGATCAGCCTGTGATGCCACTCTTACCACTGTCCTGTATGTGCGATGCAACATTGAAATTTCCTCACTGTGGGGCAAATAAAGGACCTCTTATCTTATAGTAATTCAGGTATAATTTCACTTTATGCAATAGTGTGTGTGTGTGTGTGTGTGTGTGTGAATGAGTGAGTATCAGTCAATCTAATTTTATTTATAAAATACTTTTCATACAAGAAGTGCAACACAAAGTGCTAAACAATTTGGTCATATGTGAGTGTGTGTGAATGAATGCCAATGTGTGTAAAACGTGGCTGTGGGTGCGTATGTTTTGAATTGTATTATTTAGATTTCTTCTGTCGTCTTCTATAACAGTATTTCTACTATTTTATCATTTGCAGCAGTCAATAACAGATTCTGATCTGATCCAGCAGGACAGACCCAGTCCTCTGGGGTCCTCCTATGACCCACCAGTCCCAGATCTAATTCAGTTCCAGTTCTGGTCCAGTCCCAGGTCTCCTCTAGTCCCAGTCCACTGCAGTCCACAGTCCTCTGTCCTAATTTAAATCAGGTACTGTATATTCTCAGGTCCAAGTCCCAGTCTTGGTCTAGTCCTAGTCCTAGTCTAGTCCCAGTCCTCCTCAGCCCCAGTGTCACCGTGACCCCCCAAAAAAAGAAAAAAAAAAATACCGAAAAAACCCAGAGGACTTTCGAGTATAAGGGACCGGCTCATACTGTGTGGACGCGCAGAGACTGAACCAAACCCACAAGAATATAAACAACTACGATAAGACATAACAGCATAAACCAAAGCCAGGACCTAAACCGGACCAGCGCGCGCCAGTTTGAGAAGCCGAAAGTCTGGAGTCTGGTCCCGCGGAGGAGAGGAGAGGATCCCGCCTGGAACTGTCGCGCCTGAAGCTGGTTTAAAATACGGTCTGCAGATATACCGGTGTATTCGCAGAGTAAAGGGAGGACTGTAAATACAATTCAGCTTGTTGTTGTTTCATGGGGCCGTGTTCGTGCAGCCGCTCACCTCAGATGAACCCGAGCGTCTGGGGAAGTCTGCCCGGGGAAAAGCGCTCCTTCTGCGGCCACACGCGCGTACACAGTCCCGGGGGAGGCTGCAGCTCTGGGGGAAGTGTGGAGCCCTGTCACCGCGGAGCTCCGGAGGAATCAGCGGGAAATTCTACAGACACAAGCCGAGAGAGCCGCGCAGGGAACGGGAGCTGAGTGAAGTCTACAGCCGCGATGTGGATCTGTAGAGGCGGAGCTGCAGAAAGAGGACCCCTGCTCTGGAAACCTGCGCTCCCAGGACCCATGCTGTGGACTTGTTCTCTGAAGATCCGTATTCTGGAGACCTGCACTCTGTAGACCCGGGCCGTGGAGACCCACGCTGTAGAGACCAGGGCTGCGCATGTTTGAAATACCAGTTTCTTTAATCTTTTCAACATGGTTGTTTTACATAATGATAAAACAGAGTTTGTAAAATTGAGACTTTTTGTGGACGCATCAGAGGGCTGACACTCTGAGGACCCGCACAATGATATTCATAATCAACCTCATAATAAACACTGTGTATCAGCCCTAATTTGGAAAAAAAACAAAATGTCCTCGAGCAGAAGATGAACATTTGGACAGAGGTTATTTTGCAAATGCTCACTGCTCATGGTGCACTAAGGCACTGAAAGAAGTTTATTTGATGACTCTGAAGGACAGCTGACAATGGCGTGAATAACCAAGTCCAACTATCGCAGGTGTGTGTTCCAACGTTTGGGGGCAGGGTGAAAGCTCTGGTCACCACTGTGCCCATTGTGACTGCACTCTGCACCGTGAAGACCTTTCTAGATACATTTATATTGTGCTAAAAAAAATTTTTTATTGATATCCTTTGGTATGTTTTTGAACTCAACCAAAAATGGGCCCTCTTACAAAACTTAAATACAAATACATTAAAAAAGCTGGGGAACACAACTTTACACACGTATTTTTGCCCTATTTTTGTCGCTTTTTCAGACAGAAAAGTGAAAAAGAGAGGACCACCCTCACTCAGCCAATCAGCTCTCAGGCCAAAGAGTTAAATAAATCGCAAGTTTCTTTCTTGCACATGTTTTCTAATAAATGTAGGTACCACAGCTTTGAATTGACCAAATTACTCCCATCGCACAAATTGCGGGGTCCTCACGGCGTGTCTCTATGCCTGACGGCGTGGTCCTTAAGACGCAGCTCTAGGCCAGACAGCGTGGCCTCCACGGCGCAGCTCCGGCTCTGGTCCTTCACCTCACATGCCCCCAATATTAGCCGCTTGTGGCTAACAGCTAACAGTTAGCCGCTAACGCTAGCTCTGGTCAAGAGTTCAAACATTACAGTCTGTGCTTCAAACATTTGGCCCGAAACTCTCCACGTCCGTCGGGAGTCTGCTCCACAGGTGTCTGCGGAGGAGACGCGGAGAGCGGGGAGGTCGTGGGCCTCTCCCAGATACCAGCTCTCCTCACGTCCTGGAGAATTCACACTAAACAGCTGCATTTCCACCTCTCTCACCCGGGAGGAAGGTCCCCGCCGCCGGTGTGAGGTGAGCCGCAGCACCGCGTCGTTTTCTGCCTTTTTCGGCCTCATCCGCGGGTCACGTCCATAATACAGGATTTCAAATCATGATCGCTGTGCAGAAACAATGTATGATTTGTCAAATCTTGTGGATTGATATCAAAACTATTTCACAAAAAAAATGGGAAAATGCTTTAGAACATCCAGTGCAAGATCATGGATGTGCATTTAACTGAAATAAAACACTATAACATTTAAAATCGTGCAGTTAGAATCTGGAACAGTCTTCCTGAAAATGTGAGACAAGTTTCTACTCTGGTAATGTTCAAATCCAGGTTCAAACAGTTCTTTTTAGCTGCAACAAACAAAGGAGTGTATCTCCAGTATTTATAATGCATCATGATTATTTATGAATTCATGTTTATTTTCTTGTTTTCTTCAGCACAAGAACTATGAACTTTGTTATACAGATAAACTTTCCAAATCCAATATAAGCACTCACTCGTCCGACTGCAGCAGTGTACAGTATAAAGTCTTCTGATTAAAAAAAACATGGTAAAGGAAAAAGGATGTCAGCGTCAGATTTACCAAAGTGTGATGTGGATTTTTCCCAATGACTTATAATTCTAGATAAATAATTATTAAAATCAGAATAGTATCATCATTTATCAGTTTTGCAGATAACTATCAAATAAACTTTACAAAAGATATGTGGAACTATCCATCTTGATCACAAACACACATACACACACACACAAAATGTACATAATGTGTTATAAACAAAAATATATAAAAAAAATAATGTATTGTGGGAGCAGACAGAATTATTTGTATTGCCATTATGAGTAACAAGAAGTCACAAACTAGTAAATGTCTCGTTGTGTGCGGTGGACCTCCCCGAGGATTCTCACATTTTTCCCTTTGTGTTTCTGAGTGGTTCCTCTCTGACGCAGGAGGGTCTCAGGACATCTGTGAACATTTGTGGACAGTGGTCATCCCCCTCCCTCTGGACCAATGGCTCCTAAGTGTTTTTTTTATTATTACATTTACTGTGTTGGAACGGCTTGATTCTCTGATCTGTTTTCAGTGAATCCTTTCTAAAGTCCTCCTCGTTACCTATGGCTAAGTAAACTAATTTGTGCTTGAGTGATTTTAAACATTCTTTTCAGAAAAGACACTTTTGTGTTTATTCTGTTTTTTGTGAATGTCATAAACTGTAGCAGAAATGTTAAAGCCCTATCTATGATTTATAATTTTTACTAATAGACTCACAGTCATTACTGTAATACTTTAAAACATGTTAAAAAGCATCAGCTCGTGGCACAAACTGGACATTTGATAGTCAACATTTCTGAAGCCTTTATTGTGTGTGTGTGTGTGTGTGTGTGTGTGTGTGTGTGTGTGGCAATAAATAATTTTTACAGATTTACATTTAACATAGAATTACCAACATGACAGAGAGACTTTGAGTAACATTATTTCTGTCTGTTAAAGTTGACAGTTCATATACACCGTGTATTTGTGGACAAAAACAGCCATATTAATAACATTTTTACTTGTCTTTTGGCTTATTTTATTCCATGATTAAAGTAAACAAAACGGAAATTAGAACGTAACTATTCCAAAAATATTTGAATGATCACACACAGAAAAAAATAATATCTCCATCTGCTTCAATATTGGTTAAACAACCAAACGCTCACCTCACTTGTGCGTCACTCATGCTGAACGCGGTCTCGCGGCGCCCTCGGCAGGACACACTTGGGATTGCAGCTCTGTCCTCGCATGACGATTCATTTATTGATTACATGTTTAAAACCCCGTATTTTTATTATTTTTTTACTTTTGAAAACTTTGTAAATTTCTCGATTTTCCCTAAGGGGCGTTAAACTGAATCTCTCTCCCCATGGGCTTAAAGTACAGACTAACATGACCATCTTCAGCAGAGAGCTCAAACAGTGGTCAAGATCCAGACTGAGTTGTTCTCGCGTGTAAATTATATTGTACTTCTTGTATAAAAAGAAAGATAAAATGTCTTTTATCTTCTGTAATGCCCCCATGGACTAGTGTTGAAAATTAGCACCTGTGCTATAACACTTAAAGTAGCAATATGTAATATTTGCATGTCAAGTCATCATTAAATGGCCCCAATATTTCAAAAAGCGTTATTAAATCATGCTATTTTCGAATACATCTTTAACTGATAACAGTAGTTCAGCCGAGATATTTGAATTTCAAAATTAGTTTTACGACTAATCTCACTGGTAAAATAACATGTGGCGCAGAACGAAAAAAGGTCTTATTATGACTCTCAAATCATTAATGACAAAACAATGACTAAAACGAGGATTTATATCGGGACGCCTTTGAACAATTGAGACAGCTTATAAAAGTTTGTGTGACAAAAAACTTGCTGGATTGACATTGTTTCCCTCAAATTAATCTATCGTGTCTAATGGTGGCCTAACGGTTAAGACACAGAGCTTACGTTCCAGCGACCCAGGGTCGAGTCCGGCTATTGTCTATTTGCATATATGTTTCATTTTATGACAGATTGCTCAAAATCAGGTAAAAGACAATTATCAAGATGTTTTCTGCAGATTATAGCTTATTTGTAAAAAGAATAATTTGAGACCACATGTCCCCCAATTTAAATAATGCTATTCTCTATTTGATGTGGGACTTATACATGTTTGTCTAAAAAATAGGGAATAAATAAAATTGAAAGGTGATATCCTCTGGAGTAAACCCTGATGTTGATACGCTGAAGAAATATGTTCCAACATCCATTCTTCCCACTCCTATTTTGGACATCAATTGCTTATTTATTTTGGGTAATCTATGCATAATAAATTGCTTTTATTTTGTTTTTCTCATCTCAAATGTCCAATAAAAAAAATAAAAAAACTTTCAATAAACATGAGCACTGCTATCATGGCAATGTGAATGGAGACAGACAAACAACTGATAAAATAATTCCTTGTGTTTGCTGCTGGATTTGGTGTGTATCTGGCAACCTGAGTCAGGGAGAGTGGGAGAGGACTACAAAATATTGACTGTCACTGCAGTACCACTTTTGGCCAGATTTTTACATACTGCTCCTTTAAGGCAACTCATCTGGTCCGTCCAATGTTATAGTTATGTCCATATGAAAAAATTAATATAATACTATTGTATTTTTCTGTTGCCTTGTTTGCATAGTGCAGGTCTCCATGGCAACGATTGCAAAAATCTGCTGGGTTTCATGTACGATATGCACAGAAACATGGAAAAGAGAATATCACCCTCACTCAGCCAATCAGCTCCCAGATTTAAACATATTTACATCCCCCAGCTTTAAGTTCAGAAGTGAGACATCTTTCTGAGACTTTACAGTCTGTTCCTGTTAATCTCATTTAGAAAGAAGAACAATCCAGGATCCAGGTCTGTTTCATGGCGACCTGTAGGGTCTGAAGTCCTGTGGGCGGATCATCATTGAACTAGACTTCAGGGAGTAGAAGTCTGAGTCCGTCCACGAAAACCAGACCAGACCATCTGGACCGAGAAGATTCTGAGCCCGGAGAGAGTACAGTCCTCCCTGAAACCAGAGACCAGGTTAAGACCAGGCACTAGAGAGAGACCAGAGACTCCGGAGGAGAGAGAAACCAGAGATGGATCAGAGAGATACCAGAAAAAGAAGAGAGAAAGACCAGAGATAGACTAGAGAGACCAGTGTCTCTAAAGAGTGAGACTAGAGAGAGATCAAAGACAGACCAGAGAAAGATCAGAAAGAGACCAGAGGCTACGGACCTGGTAGTAGACCCCGTTGAGGTTGGCCTGGTAACACTGTCGGAACCACCAGCCAGAGTGGCACACCTCTGCACACAGATCCCCCGAGTCCGGAGTGGCAAAGTCCTGACCGTCATGGTACCAGCCGAACGAGTCCGAGATGGAACCCAAGAACCCAGACACGTGCAGACGGAAGAGGTTCTGCTCGTCTTCGATCCTGACACAGTTCCAAACATGTGCTTTCCTAAGCTACTATTCACCCACTCCTCTTTAAAGCTGAGGCATGTAATTTTCAGACCACAGCAGCGATGTAGACCTAAGTAATAAAAGCCATGTCTCTAGTTCCTGGCTCTACAACAGTTGCGTCTATCACACGTTTTCACATTGTGTCACTCTGGCTTCTATCAGATTTTTTCAGACAGAAAAAGCGGATCATTTCCCTTTTCTGTCTGAAAACTCTCTCATTCAGCCAATCAGCTCTCAGCCCAGAGTCTAATCGTGATGGGATGAAGACTTACTTAAACGTCCTATATCTTTTTTTCACAGTCCATCCTATGCACATGAGTGATAATAATTTGAATACACCATACAGCAGTCAAAACATAGAAGGTATAGCCATTTCTTTCATAGAGGTGAATAGAGGGATGAGGGCTCTACACGCCTGAAGTTTTCCTACGGGGATCAATAAAGTATTTCTCGAGGTGACCTATTGAGAAGCTTGTACCTGTGTTCTTTTCCCCGGTCTTCGCCGGTACATAATCATTTCAGACCTGAAAATAAAATTCCTTGGGGCGGGCTTCTGGAGCTTGAGCTGCGTGTGAACAAAGTGATTCAGGTTGTTTTTGAGCCTCTCGAGAATGAAAGAGAAAGATTTACTCTAATATTAAAACTTGAATTCATTAAAAACTACTCTGGGAATGTATATTTCAGTCTTAAGGAGACTGCTCAGGCGTATTTAAAATAAAACTCTTCTCTGTTATTAGGGTTCATTGATGCATCCAAGGCATTTTGATCGAGTGAACCACTGTAAGCTTTTTGGGAAACTCAAAGAAAGGAATCTGCCTGATATCATAAGAATTTTGACTTTCTGGTATTCTAATCAGCAGATGCAGGTGAAGTGGGGTAATACCATCTCAGCTGCCGTCGGTGTCAGTAACGGAGTGCGTCAGGGCTGTTGTCCCCTCTCCTGTTTAACCTGTACATGAATGACCTGTCTCTGTGCTTGAATGGCTGTAGAACTGCATGATCGGTAACATGCTGGTCAACCTACTCCCTGAGTAGTGCTGGCTTTCGGCAGCTTTTGAATGTATGCTCTGAGTATGGGGTTAACTTTGATATTCAATATAATGCCAAAAAGAGCGCTGTACTAATCGGCCCCACCAAAGGGGACAAACATCTTTGTTTTCCAGACTTTTATTTGTCTGGTCAAAAGCTAGGTGTTTGCAGTAAAATTAAATACTTGGGTCACATCATAACTGACTGACTCTGTGATGATGATGACATTAATTGCCAGTGTCGAAAAATGTAAGAAGGCTACGCTACAGAAGCTCAATGTAGTCTATAATGATGCTTTCAGGATTCTGCTGAAAAATCCCAGGTCCAGTAGTGCTAGTCTGCTGTTCTGTGAGAGTCGTGTGAACTCTTTCCACGCTCTTATGAGAAATATGATGTACAGGTTTATATGCAGCCTGAATGTCAGTGAGAACTCTTGTGCAGTCTCTGGTCAACCCCAGTATTAGTTCTGTGCGCTACCAGTCAGCTCTATGGAAGCTCTGGTACAGTTGTCTTTTATAATTGTTTGTGATGTGGTGTTTGTATTGTATGGACTTCGAGTCTGACAAATAAAGAAATTAATAAAATTAAAATAATAATAATAAAATAAAATTAATAATAATATGAAGGCCTACTATCACTGTAATTATGTTTTAAAGTAGATTTATATCGAAAAACGTAATATGGGACCTTTAAATATTCGTTCCATTGGACAAACAACATGTGTTATTCATGCGACTTAGTTACGTACCCCAGCTTTAAGTAAAAATACCCAAAGTTCTGGTTCAGTCCTGGTCTCACCTGAAGTCCTGGTACAGTCCCCAATGAGTCTCGTGGTCCCAGTCCTGCAGGTGGACCCTCAGGCTGCAGTGTCTCTGGGTGACCAGCAGGTGGAGTGGTGTGTTCCCCATCCAGAATTCTGAGCGCAGGTCTCCGAAGCCGTGGCTGTACGCCTCCCACCCACGGTTAAAGCTGATTGAGCCGTCTGCACGCCGCTGGAGGACGGTCCACCCCCCCCCTGAGGAGCAGAGGATCTAACTTAAGCATCCATTCAGGTCCAATCTAAAATTCATAACCATTCCCCATACTTACCCCCAAAGCCACCTAGCCACCTCAGCTAACCCCTTCCACTACCCATCACCAAAACCCCTCCACCTCGTCCCCGTCGTCTAAAACCTTTTGCCCCTCCCCTAACCCATCAGAAAAAAAAACCTCCACCTCTGCCTCCCCCTTGTCCAACACCCAAATCCTGATCAGTGCCCAAAAACCCCCAACTGCCCAACCTCCTCCTCCTACTTTTCCCCCTTCCCCTCTTATCTCCTTCAGCTGAACACTGACAAAACAGAAAAGAGCGCGCGTCCTCTGTCACCTCCAAATCTTCAAATCAACGCTCTGACCAATCAGAGCAGTTCATCAGAGCGGGAGTTAGAGCGAGAGCCAGACGAGCAGAGTTTGTGGCACTAAAGTGTGGATTTAAACAAAACCGAAGGATTTAAGAAGAATAAAAGTTCAGGATGACAAGGGGCACTAAAATCCCCACAAAATCTGACCTTTATGAAAGCTGAAGGTTCTCTGTCAGCTGAGGTTGAGCTGTTTTAATATGCATTGAGTCCTATGGGGAAAATCCCCCGAGCACATGAGTTATTCAGCTACAAGCTAGTAATACCCTATCCAGTTATTATAATAGATCCATGGTACTGAGCTGTTAGCTACAGTAGCTGTAGCTGTAGCTGTTAGCTACAGTAGCAGAATATAAACAGGAAAAGAAGCGGATCTCAACCAGGGCCACGAGGTAGTCTCTGGTGTTAGTATTAGCGCCACCAGCTGGACCGAGTGTTGTACTACAGCACAATTTCCCTGGCACGGTTCAGACAACACGTTCATGTGACCGCAGGCCGTTTTCACACCCCTGTGGCGACGATCTGGGCCACTTGTAGGGTTGCCAACTTGAGAACAAAAAAATAAGGGACACCATTTGGGTGGATCGGGTTGAGCACTTTTTAGTCCTAATTTCAGTCTACACAGTAATCATGGAATTTCATAATCACAGCTTTTAGATTGTAATTTATTGACTACATATTAAAAAAAAACCATTCCTTAGTCAAAAATGAAATTGAATAAATAGGTGGAACTCTTTGGCTGGTTAAGGACTTAATGCATTCTTATTAGTAATAAAAAAAATAAAATAAAAATTTTATAAAATAAAAAAGATACTTACACTTACAAATACTGTAACATACATTATTTATGAATATTACAGTAAAGACCAATTTCTGTAAAAGCAAATAAAAAAACATGTATTCATTAAAAAAACTCACAAATCAAAGTCTGTAGCAGTTCGATATGGTCATCATTATTTACATTGTCTGAGAGTTTTGTGCAGGTACTGCAGGTTTGTGGCTTCAGTAAAAGCTATTGTTCGTTTACAAAGCTGGTCTGGATATTTGTTGACGGTCCCTAAGTGCTTTTCTCGGCGCTTGCAGTGCATTGGATTCAGAGGAGTTCTCTGCATTAAAACAGCGCATTGAATTTGTAAAATCAACGTAGAGATGTTCATTTTAGCACAATTACTTTTGTTTAACAAAGTAGCTTTCGTGAGCTATTGACCGCGGATGTCCAAATCTGATTGGCCGAAAAGTAGATGCTTTGTGTGTGTCGCGCGCGACATGCAGTGAGTGAGTGATGCATTTAAGGTGGCTCTGAAAATACGGGACAAAAGCCGTCCCGTATCAGTTCAATACGGGACGCACATAGTTTTTCTATAATACGGGACAATTCCGTATTTCAAGGGACGGTTGGCAACCCTAGCCACTTGGCCTAGTACGTTTGTAAAAACCTATGTGACTGTGCCCTGAGTAGCCTTGTGTACGAATTGTACTAAACAAATACACTTGCCTTGTCTTGCCTTACAGGATGAGCAGAGGCTCTATACTGAGCTCCCATACAGGTGTACGGGGCAGAGGGTCTATACTGAGCTCCCACACAGGTGTGAGAAGGAGAGGGTCTAAACTCAGTTCTCATACATGTGTTATAGCTGACAGTGGAGGAAGCCTTCTTCCTCCCCCAGAGGAGAGAGAAGCAGCAGATCTACCCAGAGCTCTAACACATGTGTGTGGGGACCTTTGCCTCACCATCCGTCTCCATGTCGCAATAAACAGGAAGTGACACGCCTGGGGCCAACACGATGGAGTAGATCCCTGAACGCCGGACGCCATGATGCAGGAGAGCAGCACAATCAGAGGGACAAGAGCCCAGAGGGGGCGCTGTGGAGAGAGTTAGAGCTAACTCACACAGGCCCCATGAGTAAAAGAGCTAACTCATGTGTATACCGTTTCTGGTTGCTATACACTTTACAGTACTTACTTGAGAGTGCCATCCCTCTGATGGCCACAGGCGGCGCTCTGCTCTTCAGACTACAGGTGGACCTCAGGGTCTTGCTCAAGACCTGGAGCTGGAGCTGGATCTCGTGCACAAGTGCAGCGTGCACATGGAGCAGTGTGGAGACCTCTGTGTGACGAGACTCCAACGCAGTCAGCCGACTAATCAAGGAAGAGTTCAACGATACATGGCCTTCGGACTTAGAGGAAGAGAAAAATCAATCAGAGGTGAGCTCAACGTCACGTGGCCTTAAAACTGAAAGGCAGAACAACCAATCAGAGGTGAGCTCAGAGCCACCCTGCCTCAGTGTTAGGCTGTAGGAACATAACTGTAGAGTACCTCAGGAGTCAATACTGAGACCCACATTATTCATAATGTGGGTCTCAGTCTCAATGTGGGTGTTGACTATGATGTGCTCTGTCTCTGTGTACAGTGGGGCAAAAAAGTATTTGGTCAGCCACCAATTGTGTTCTCCCACTTAAAATAATGACAGAGGTCTGTAATTTTCATCATAGGTACACTTCAACTGTGAGAGACAGAATGTGAAAAAAAAATGCAGGAATTCAGAGAATTTGTAAATTATGGTGGAAAATAAGTATTTGGTCAATAACAGAAATTTAACTCAATGGAAGGAGGTTTTCTGAGATAGTCCAGTGGTTGTGTCGATGGACTGCCAATCCAGACACTTGGGTTCAAATCCCAGCTCGGACATTTCGACAGTAGCTCAGTTGGTAGAGCATTGGCCTTTGGGCCTGAAGGTCGTGGGTTCAAGCCCACCATAAGACCTACTTCACGACTCCCACTGATGACTACTGTCGTTGTGTCCTTGGGCAAGACACTTAACCCCACTTTGCCTGAAGCTCCCACTGAAAGATCTCAGCTCCTGTGGACTCACCACCTGCAGGAGGATCAGTGAGGGGCTGGTGCTAAGTGGACTGGGTGCAGCTCTGACTGCCACCCCCCCGACCCAGAAATGGATTAGGATGGATGGATGGAAGGAGGTTTTGGCTCAAATCTCACGATACATGGCCCCATTCATTATTTCCTATGGCGGATCAGTCGTCCTGTCCTCTTAGCAGAAAAACAGCCCCAAAGCATGATGTTTCCACCCCAATGCTTCACAGTAGGTATGGTGTTCTTGGGATGCAACTCAGTATCCAAACACGACGAGTTGAGTTTATACCAAACAGTTCTACTTTGATTTCATCTGACCACTGATGGTAACCTTTGTTACTTTGGTCCCAGCTCTCTGCAGGTCATTCACCAGGTCATGATTTGGATGATTATGAGTTTAATGCATAATTTTTTTATTATTATTATTATTATAATTTTTAAGTTTTTATTTTTCCACTTTATTGTTTGATCACATTGAGTGATCACATGTGATTATGTGATCAAATGGGAGAGTGTTAGGATTAGATAGTTATATGGCCTACGTGCAGGACTGTACAAGGATTATTTTGACTATGATGTGACTGTCTCTGTGTGACACGTATGTCTTTCGATGTGTGACGTAACAATGACTATAAAACCTTGTCTTGACTTTTGCTCTGTCTGAATCAACTACCATTTTTGTGAAAAAACAACCAAGCTGGATGCACAGGATCCCAGTGTGTCTGAGTCTGATTTACCAAACTCCTCTCCCCTTACCTCCAGCCCCTTCACTCTCCGGTGGTTTTCTCCGCTCTCTCGTTTCACTTCGCTCACAGCTTCTCTGATGTGCTGCAGCTCCTGCTTCCTGCCCGTAGACTCTCTCGACCAATCAGACACCTGGGATCTGCATCGGAACAGGTCTGGGCAGCGCTCCCGTGGCAACGTTCCGGGTCCGGCTGGGAGCATGGCGACGACGCGGCAACCGCCACCGGAGGTTGCTTCAGCGCTGAAGTGTCCACAGAGGGAGTTGGGCTCCAAGGACTCTGAGACTATCACGGACAAGGATTGTTTAAAGGAGACATAGTCTGAAAACTACCATTGTCTCTCTTTTCTCTATGTTCTAACATTGTTCCTCATCAGTCACAGACCTGCAGTTGTCCATGCTAATATAAGGAACTTCTGGTATATACATGTAGCTCTGCCCCTTCTGTCTAAAAGCTCCTGTATCTGTCCTGTAAGAGTATAATGTCATTGTACCACTCTCTCAGAGCAGTTTTCTGCTTTTAAAACAAAAGGAGAGAGATCAAAGCAAGATACCAGAGAGCGATCACTATGACGTCACAAAAGCAAAACTTTAAAAGCATTGCCCATAAATTAGTCCTGGGAATTTTTCAGCTGAACGTACATCCTTTAAGTAAGTAAGTAAGTAATCTTTATTTATATACCGCCTTTTCACTGCACATTGGAGTCTCAAAGCGGTTTACAATTGTGATTTTTTTTGGGAGTGGGGGTGCCAGTACAGGAGGCACATGCCAGCCCTATTGTACATATTTTTAGTGGTAGGGGAAACCGGAGCACCCGGAGGAAACCTACGCAGACACGGGGAGAACATGCAAACTCCACTCAGAAAGGCCCTGGTCCAACCGGGATTCGAACCCAGGACCTTCTTGCTGAGAGGCGAGAGTGCTATCCACTCAGCCACCGTGCCGCCATTTAACATCATATTTTTGCAGCTCCCTCTTGTGGCAGCATCGTTAGTTACAGTATGAAACCTATATTTTATTTTTATTACCGAAGAAACAGATTCACTTTATTTTCCATTTGCAGTAAAAACCATATTGGATTACATGTGTAAAAGTCCCCAGAGTGCACCAGACAAGTACATCAATAAAACCAAAAAGTACAGGAAACAGTAGTCAGTGTGAATTCAATCACACAAAAAATGAAAATATTGTATTAAATATCAAGTGCAAGAGCATTGCAAAAAAACGGTGGTGGTTAAACTCAAATCAAGAGACATTTTCAAAAGTTTCAAAAGACTTGGTCTCTTTCTGGACTCTCTCTGGAGTCTCTCTGGTTCGTAAAAAGGTCTCTACTTAAAGCTGGGGCTTGTAACTTTGAGGGTGGTCCTTTTTTGTCTTTACTTTATATGTGACAGAGGCCAAAAAACATGATGTGAAAGCTAGACCTTATAACTAGACCAGACCCAAACAAGACCCAGGCGAGACCAAGCCCCGGTGATCCAAGATGGCGCCCTATTCAAATGAATGGCCTGTGCTCAGTAGTGCATGGGACTTCACGGAGACCGGTAGATCAGCAGAACTTGCCTATATTTGGGCATCGTCTGGTCCTCTCAGTTCTGCGCAGTGGACGAGCTCCCATGATGCGTTGCGCCAAATTCGCGTGTGAGGCTTTCATGCACGTGCACAGAGGGGCGTTTTGACCAATCAGAGCAGTGGTAAAGCGGAGTCAGATCGGGTCGGGAAGGAAAGGAGCTGAGTTTGTTGCAGTAACGTGTGGATTTAAGGAAAATCGAAGGATTTAAAAAAAAATGTTCAGGATGACAAGGGACACAAAAATCCCCACAAAATCCGATCTTTATGAAAGCTGTAGGTTCTCTGACAGCTGAGGTCGAAGCTGTTTTAGTTTACATTGAGTTCTATATGGGACTTTTTTCTGGGTAGCCTACGTGAATTTAGTCTGCAGTACCACGGGCGCCCCCGCTGCCCACGGGTGGGACAGCTGTAAGCTAGTAATACCCTATCCAGTTATTATTATAGATCCATGGGCGAGACCCAGTCTAGACCCAGACCCTGGCCAAACCCAAACTGTTTTAGAGGCAGGAACTAGTAACATGGATGTCATTGAGTTCTATTGTTGCAGTCTGAAAGTTACATAATCAAGCTTTAACCATAAATGTACCCTGGATCATTGAGACTGATGAAGATGCACTACTTCCATAACATGAAATAAAGTGAATATTCTAAAGTCTCATTGTGATTCTCACCATGGGTCTTACCATGGGTCTCACCAGGGGTCTTACCATGGGTCTTACCATGGGTCTCACCATGGGTCTTACCGTGGGTCTGGTCCGTGCCGCTGTTGGAGGCCTCTCTGCTCTCGGTGTCGGCCGTGAAGCTTGGGTGGAACAGGTCCTCATCCTGGTTCAAGTCCGGACTCTCATCAAAACCTGAAACTAGTCCAGAGAGCAGCAGGACCCAGACCAGAGACCAGACCATCCTAAGACCTGCCCGGGATCTGACTGTTGATAATCCAGATTATAATGTGGATTAGACCAGAGATATGAGCAGCACTTTCACAAACACAGAGCAGCTTCCAACACCTCCTCAGAAAAGTGAAAAGAAAGGACCCCCTTGTCTCAGCCAATCATGCAAAAATATTAGTATTAACTGTAGTCACATATAACACATGTTTAAAGCTGGGCTCTGTAACTTTAGTCTTAAATATAAAACATGTAGTTTGAACAGAGCCTTAAAGCAAAGTCTTGTGAAAAAATCAGACACATCATGCTGTCTTCATCTCAATAGAAACCTGTTGAACCCTGTGAGTCACTATTTGTATGTTATGAGACAAATGCCCACAACAATTGTAAAGCGCTTTGTGACTCTGCAGTGAAAGGTGCTATATAAATAAATATTGATTTGACTTTTCGGGCTCAGAGGTGATCCCTCTTTTTTCACTTATCTATCCTGATATTATGATCTGAAGACGTATCAGAAGCCAGAAATGCATGATGTGGGAACTTGCATTAGCGCAGAAAAATGCTGTTGTTTCCCCCTGGTGGCCGCAGCTGAGAATGCAGCTCCACGAACTGAAAATAAAAGCTCTGCAGACTCTTGTTCAGACTCATGATGCAGCAACAAGAAGCTGGAGGATTTAACTTTGAGAACAGCCGCAGGTGAAACCAGAACTAGGACTGTACCAGGTCTGGACCAAGTCTGAACCAGGACTGAGCCAAATCTAGACCAGGAGTGAATCAGGACTGAACCAATTCTAGACCAAGACTGAACCAGGTCTAGACCAGGACTGAACTTTGACTGAACAGCAGTCTAGACTATAGGTGTGATCCTCTGTTGCAGGAATGCTGTGTTGGAGTCTAGTTTGGCTGAAAATGGATTTAAATATCTGAACCCAAGAAAAACTGGGACCACAATCGCAGGACTCATTTACAAGGTCTGAACCAGTCCAGGACCAAGTCTGTACCAGGACCAGGTCTATTTATGATCCCTCTGAAGCTCTCACTTTCTCTCCGACGAGTTCAAACATGTTTCCATGATAACTGATTAAGATCTGATTTCACGGAGTCATACAGACCTCAGTATCCTAGGTCTTCCTCTGGGTCTTTCTCTGGGTCTTTCTCTGGGCCTTTCTCCGGGTCTTTCTCTGGGTCTTTCTCTGGGTCTTTCTCTGGGTCTTTCTCTGGGTCTTTCTCTGGGTCTCATCCCTGTGGAGGGATTGTAGACTGCGTGGTAAATCTGAGCAAGGGCGTAGGTTTGCGTGGGGACCATGGGGACATGTCCCCACCAATATTTGGTGAGGACTAAAAAGTCCCCACCAAAATGACATGATGTCCCGTGACCCGGACGGTCCGGGTCACATGTCTTCTGTTTGTGCACACGTCGCGCCTCCTCCTCGCCTCCAGAGCAACAGCAGCAGCACGTGACCCGTTCCGTTCTCTGCAATGATTGGCTGTCTTCTTCAGCGCCAAACTGAAGCACTGAGCGACTGTTTAATTTTTAAAAGTTAGCCAGCGTGAAGCAAGTGTTTTTTTTCGTTCCCTGAGCGTTGTAGCACGTGAGTAATCAGAGGAAAGTACTGTAGATCTATTACCATTCAAAGTACTTACGTTATTTCTAATCTGTCAGCGCACTGTTTAATGTTCCGAGGAGCTCACACGGCACAGAGACAGAACAGAACTGGCTCCAATAAAGAAACAGGTTGGTTGAAAGGCTGAAAAAATACTTATTGTGCTCTTACTATCCAAAATGTATAAGTGGGTGTGTTGTGTGAATCAGGATAAACTAGGGATGAAAATATTCCACGGATCCACGATTTACAACCTTTATCTGCTGATAATGTAATTTCTGTGAAATGTGTGACAGCGGGCACTTGCTGTTATTTGCTCTAAGCACATTCAAGCGATGCACTCGAATGTGCACGTCCTGGTGCAGCTGCTGCCGCTTTGTAATGACAGCCGCGGCGCTCAGTGAAAGCACAGCTCTAACATGGTACCGAGCTCGGACCATATGCAGACAGAACCATGTTGCAAGTGCGGGTCTCCCTCGTATCTCCCCCGTTTCTCCCCTGTGTCTCTGACATGTCTCTCCCCTGACTCTTCCCAAAGCGCAACCAGCGCTCCCGAAATTAAAGCTCGGATACCTAAATTTTCCATTGCGTTAACGATGCATGCTGGTTGTGCGCAAAACACACCACAACAGGTCATTTAAGTTTTTATTTTGCATACTTGAGAGCCCTGTGAGTCATTACTTGCCTTTTTGGGTTGAGAGTGGAATAAAAAAAAGAAAATATAGAAAAATCCACACTGTTACTTATTGCCAAACTCTTGTTAACTCATTGTATTGAGAAATACTATGTAACTTTTGACATTGGCCAAGTTATATAAATGATTCTGCAGTTCATGTATATGAATGTCTGTTTTTGATTGTCTATACCTTCTTATATAATTTAGAAAAAATGCCACCTCCACAAAAAAAGATAAAAGATATCAGGAGCTTTTTTAACAGTTGGAAAGTAAGTAAGAGAAAGCACAAGTAATAGCAAATTATGAATTGTGATGATTAATCTTCTGTTAACATACATAGGAAACTCAACCAACAAGAGAGAACAATATAGGGAATGTTGAGGTAGAAGCAACAGGCCCTTCAGTGCATCAGGCGAGGTTGGAATTTTGTAGGTATGCATGGGACTATGAATTGTTTTTAGAGATTGATCGTATATGTCAAACAATGTAGTGAGCTACTCACTGTAGATTCTAATTCAATATTTTCTCCTCTGTTTTTATTTATTATAGGAAATTGAAAGATCAGAGCATGATTTATTTCAAGTATCGAGAGCAGTTCCTGAACTGTTAGAGCCTCAGGTGAGGGCTATTATGTAGATTTGGATTAGGTTTAAGTCAGTATAGAATCATACTAAAGTTAAAGAACATCATTTGGTTGGAAATTACCTATGCCAATTACAACATATTTTACTACTATAATGATGCAAAAAGTGTTGTCTGAAATCTTTTACTAAATATAGGACACTCTGAGAGATATAATGGAAATTCAAGAAGGAGATAAAGACAAGGACAAGACAGGACTCCAGGTGAGGTTAGGATTAAGCAGTTAAAATCTTAGACCCATCAACCAATTCTAGTTTCATGAGATATTTAGCGACTGGTGTACCATGCCTAGGTTTCATTTTATTCAATGTAGAATGTGTGTTTTTATTAATACCATAAAGGAAAGTCAGACAAACAGGGAATGTGCAGTGCTGGTAGAGGATGAGGAAGTGGCTGGACCTTCAGGGCTTCAGGTGAGGTTGAAAGTATTTATTTGGTTTTGTTGGTGGTTTTATTTTGTATATGCTTAGATCTGATTTGTTTAATGTACTACATGTGTTTTATTTATTATAGGGAACTCAGGTATTCAGGGAAGATGTAGTGCAGGCAGATATCGAAGCTGGGCTTCAGGTGAGGCTGGAATTATGAAGATAAAATATGGGATTTTTTAAAGTTTCATAACAGTGTATTTGCTATTTAGGAGGCAGCCAATGAGAGTCACTCTCAAGAAAGTGCCAGGGACAGCATATTTGAGATAGGTTGTAAACCATATCAGCCTGATCCTGAATACAGGATATATTTACTATCTTATTTACTATAAACATTTAAGCCATCTTGTGGACAAAGTTAGAATGAACGCAACACAAAACTCAGAAGCTCTGATCCAATTGATTTTGTTTTAACTATTAGAAAAAATCCTTAACTGCTTCTCATTCAGTCTACAGCTGAGTTTAGTATAGAAGGCAACACACTATTGCAAATATAGTGTGTGATTACACAACAAATTCTGGGGGAGAAACTCTGGACCCCGTGTCAATGGGTGTAGACTCAGGTCGTAGTGAATGTCCCCACCAAGATTGGAACCAAACCTACACCATTGAATCTGAGGACCAAGAGCAGGACCTTCCTTTGTCTCAGACCAGACCTGGTCCTGGTCTTGGTCTCCTTCATGTGTGTGTTTCAGGATGGAGTGATACTCGGAGCCGACACTCGAACCACAGACGACATGATGGTTGCCGACAAGAACTGTGAGAAGATCCACTGCATCTCTCCAACTATCTAGTGAGTCCTGGTCCAGACCTCGTCCACATATGGTCCAGACCTGCTCCAGACCTGCTCCAGACTTGGACCTGATCTGATCTGATCCAGTCTTGGTCCAGACCAGGTCCAGTCCTGGTCCAGTCCTGGTCCATTCCTGGTTCAGTCCTGACCTGTGGTCTCTCCTCAGCGGCTGCGGGGCGGGTGTTGCTGCAGATGCGCTGCTCTGCTCTCAGATGATTGCCGCTAGTGCGCAGTTACATTCTCTAAACACAGGGAGGCGCCCTCCTGTCGCCATGATGACGCGACAGCTCAAACAGACGCTCTTCAGGTCAGTGCTCTTCCTGAACGCTCTTCAGGTTTTACAGATTAACCAGTGGGAGACCAGTGGGAGACCAGTGGGAGACCAGTGAAAGAGACCCAAGACAGACCAGAGAGAGACCTGAAAAGACTGATCGGAGAGAGACCAGAGAGAAACCAGAGAGAAGAGAGAGACCAGCTAGAGAGAGAGACCAGAAAAAGACCAAACCCCAGAAAAAGGTCTAGGAGCTCTCAATTGTAAACCGCTTTGAGACTCAGATCTGCAGTGAAAAGGCGGTGTATATAAATAAAGATTACTAATACTACTACTCATAGTCCTACATGGTGTGTCCTCAGGTACCAGGGACAGGTGAGCTGCTCTCTCATCGTGGGAGGAGTGGATGACTCCGGTCCTCAGCTCTACAGCGTTTATCCTCACGGCTCCTCTTACCGTCTGCCCTACGTCACTATGGGTTTGCACATTCACAATATTGGGTGTAATTTTGGCCCATTCATCCCATATCCAAAAGCCGCAGTGAAAAGTCTTATGTGCTTTTTGGTTCTGCTTTTGACCCATTTCCATCTAATGTGTCGAGATGTTGCTTCCTCTTACATGTGCAGTGGTTCAAAAACTGAAGGACAAAGTCAGGTCCCCTAGCTTTAATCGGCTGTGACATGATGTGTGCAGGCTCCGGAGCTGCAGCTGCTGCGGCTGTGCTGGAGGACCGCTTCAAACCATACATGGAGGTAACTTCCTGTCGCTGTTCACACTACAGGCTCATGAATAAAACATTTTTTTAGTTTTTTCTTCATGTTTTTTTTTGTTTCTGACCTTGACTTGTTTATAGTTATGTGTTTTTGTTTTCGTATACAAAACATTTAGTTACAAACAAAACCAGAGCTGGAGGAATCCCCGCAGCTGCTCCAAGACTCCCTGTGTCTGTGTGTTGTTTAAAACTCTTTCAGTAGGATTCACCATACTGTGGATTGTTCAGTATCCGGTTTGTTCTAGCTGTAGGATTCCCTCCAGGTGCTCTGGGTCGCTGTGGTCGGTTTAGTATCTGGTCTATTCTAGCTGCAGGATGCGCTCCAGGTGCTCCAGGACGCGGTTCTGGCTGGGATCCTCTGTGACCTGGTTTCTGGAGGCAGTGTGGACGTGTGTGTGATCACTGAGACCGGAGCAGATCTGCGGAGGGGCGTCGAGCGAGCAGCTGTCAGAGGGAACAGGTGCTTTGAATTTTCATGTATGAGACCAGGACTGAGACCAGGACCATGTCCAAGAAATTGACCGGGACCGGGACTGAGACCGGGACTCAAACTGGGACAGAAACCAGAATTGAGGCCAGGACTGAGACCAAGGTCTAAGACCGGGACTGAGACCAGGACTCAGACTTGGACTGGGACCAGAGACCGAGACCAGGATTGAGACCAGGATTGAGACCAGGATTGAGACCAGGACCGAGACCAGGACCGAGACCAGGACCGAGACCAGGACCGAGACCAGGACCGAGACCAGGACCGAGACCAGAGACTTACGTAGACCAGGGACTGAGACAGAGATGGAGACCAGGACCAAGACCGGGACCGAGACCACTGACATATTTCATGTATTCCTCTCTTTCAGAACGGGAGACTATCGGTACAAACGAGGCACCACAGTGGTCCTCACCAAGTCCACCACGAATCTGAGACATGACCTAGTCCACGAGTCGGTCCAGACCACAGACCAGGACTAGACCACAGACCAGGACTAGACCAAGATTACAAGAGGACTGAACCAGGACAGTACCAGGACTAAACCAGGACTGAACCAGGGCCGAATCAGGTCTGAACCAGGACTGAACCAGGACCACTAAATAATAAAGTTGGTCTTCCTCTTGAACTTTGACTTGATTTTTGTCTTTTCATCTTTCCAGTTCTTACACATTTCAAAATCCACACAAAAGTAACACGAGGGACAATGGTCACACACAGTCCCATTATGTCAGCATAACGAGCCCCAGAGTTGTGTTTGGGTGAGTGAGTTCGGTCTCGCTCTAGTCTCTCTTGTCTCTCTCTGCTCTGATTAATATAAACATTTTTTTTTTTTAACCAAAAAAGGTAGCTTTCAATGTATGGCGCAGTCAAGATGAACACTCAGGTTTCTCTCAAGCTTGTGCACAGAGGGACATGTGAGCCTTCTGACAAATCACGGGTTTTGCGGCACAAAACTGTGGATTTAGAGAAAAAAGTTGAGGGCAACTTAGTAGTAGTTTTGTCGAGCCGTTTTAGTGAACACTGAAGTCTGTGGGGAAATGTCCTTAGAGTCCATGTGGATTTAGGCTGCAGTACCACAGGTGGCCTCTAGTCCATGTGGATTTAGGCTGCAGTTCCACGGGTGGCCTCTAGTCCATGTGTATTTAGGCTGCAGTACCACAGGTGGCCTCTAGTCCATGTGGATTTAGGCTGTAGTTCCACGGGTGGCCTCTAGTCCATGTGTATTTAGGCTGCAGTTCCGCGGTTGGCCTCTAGTCCATGTGGATTTAGGCTGCAGTTCCGCGGTTGGCCTCTAGTCCATGTGGATTTAGGCTGCAGTTCCGCGGTTGGCCTCTAGTCCATGTGGATTTAGGCTGCAGTTCCGCGGTTGGCCTCTAGTCCATGTGGATTTAGGCTGCAGTTCCGCGGTTGGCCTCTAGTCAATATGAAGAAGGTTTTAAGCAGCGACATTCATCACATAACATCACACATCACAACGTCCCTTCGGTGAAAAGGTTCGTAGTTTGATTCATTCACTTTTTACCTTTACACGACTCTTTCTGCTGCACATTCTGGGAGCATCCATCACGTTGTCACGGAGACATGACCTTGAGTCTGAAGAGCTGCCATGCTAACGAGCTAGCGCCACTTAGCCCCTCAATCAGTGCTAATTAACAAGGTGGTTTCTGAGGCACAGGAATGAACGCAATCGGAAACATGTGCGTCACCAGGGCTCTGGCCAATCGCGGCACAGAGAGGTCTGGGCCAATCACGCGGCAGAGAAGGGATTTTAAAAAGCGGTGAGCTAACGCAGACTTTCAGAGCAGCGCGACAAGCTAATGAGGTGAGAGACTTTTTTTTTATTTACAAATGTGTTCAAAACGTGTAAACAGCTCAAGGGCACTGTCAGACGGACGAATGAGGCACATGAAGCAGATTCTGCAGACGGATGGACAGATTTTCTTCTGCTTTGATCTCCAGTGTTTGACTCCTGTAACGGGTGTCTGGTCTCTCTGAACGAGCTACAAAACACCTGCAGTATATTCAAAACGCTGCAGTTTGAGTCTTGACTAGAACCAGGAAGTACCATCACATTAGTCCAGTCCTCAGGTCTCTGTGACTTTAAAGCAGCTCTTGCTGTGTACAAGTCTCGCCGTGGCCTCACACCAAAATTACATGTTAGTGCCATATGAACCAACTTGGACTCTGAGGAGCAGTCTTCCTGAAAATATGAGACAGGTTTCTATTCTGACAATGTTCAAATCCAGGTTAAAAACTGTTTCGTTTAGCTGCAACAACTGAAGGATTATATCTTCATTTTTTTTCGTGCGCTCCGCTGTCGTGTCTTTAGGCAAGACACCTCGGGACACGCCTAAATTGAGTCTGGTGTGCATGAATGTTTGGTGGTGGTGGAAGGGGCCGACGGCTTGAAATAATAATGTAGAGATTTTGAGCATCAAGGAAAGTGTATAAATTGTCATTATTATTATAATTATTCATATATTTGCATTTCTAGACTAAAAAAGTCTTGCTTGATAAAAGAAAGGAAACATTCACTTGAGTAAAAGTATAAAAGCAAGATCTGGACTTAGATCAAAAAGTAAAAAGAATGTTGGTTAATTAGTTAATTGTAACATTTTAATACTTTATATGATACTGTTGTAAAAATGTTTCTGCCAGTAAACAAAACACAGAACTTAGAAGCGCAGCTAACCGCTGTTATTATGTTGTGTCACCATTTTACAGTCTATGGTCACCATGCACTGCAAAGACATGGCTTTCCACCTCTTCCTCTGGAGGAGCTGCAGATCTCCAGCTCACCTGGTTGGGGTCAGGGCACGAGTCGTTCTCTCCACAGATCTGGTCTTTATGGAAGAATGGAAGAAGAAAGTGTTGAAGCTGAGAGCTGTGGTCTGAGGAGACCAACACTAACACTGTCATCTGCCTCAGTGCACCGGTGTGGGACATGGGGGCAGCATCATGCTGTGGGGCCTGATTTTTTTCAGCAGGGTTTTTGTTCGTCTTCCATCAGGACAATGAGCCTCAACGTAAAGAGCATAAACAAAACATTCATGTGTTAGAATGTCTCTTCCTCCTCCTCTTCCTACTTGTTTTCCTGCTCCTCCTCCTCTCCTATTACAGACATGCTTCCACTCTCCTCTTCCTCTCTTGCAGATGCAGTCACACACCTCCTCCTCTCCTCCTCTCCTGGCCCTGGCACTGCTCCTCCTCCCTCACTCCTCCACGTCTCCTCTGCCCACACATGAGCCTCCTGCCCTGGGGCTGACGCTTCTGCAGCTGCTGGACCCCAACCCGGAGCAGCAGGAGGCGCCGGTGAGCACACCAGAACAGTGTTCGAACCAGTGGGGGCGGGTGGCCAAAATGACGTGCGCTGACATACTTGCAATACCACCCCGGGCCGATGGGGGTGGACCCGGTTTAAGAATTAGCCAATGCTAACATAAAGCATTTTCTTACCTCTCGAAAACGTCTTTACAGGATGAAAGAGAATTTTCAACCCTGTGCATGTTTGAATATTTTTTTTTTTTTTACATTTCAGTCACTAAAAATTCAGTTTACGAATTTCAATGTGATTAAAATTTCAAAATGACATATTCACCTTCAAAATATTCAATAATTTTTTTGTCAATGAAAAAAAAAAACACCGGATGTGTCATGTGCATTTTTCATTGAATTTTTACTCGTTGAATTTTGACTGTTGAATTTAACATTATGAAATTGACAATCAGTGACTGAAATTCACAGAAAAAAATATTCAAGATGTTAAAAACATTCAAATAGATGAATTCAGGTCCATTTAAAATTCAATTTCTGATGGAACAAATAATCCGTCTTTTTTTTTTTTCATTGAAAAAAAAAAGTATTGAATATTTTGAAGGTGAATATGTCATTTTGAAATTTTAATCACATTGAAATTTGTAAACTGAATTTTTAGTGATTGAAATGTAAATATAAAAATATTCAAACATGCTTTTTCAGGGTTAAACATTTCAAATGGAAAAATTCGAGCTCCTTTCCACATGTGTGTCAATGCTGAGGGGAGTGATTTTTGAGTGAGTTTCCTCGCTGTGAATTCTTGAAGGCACTCGTTTAAATGAATGGGGCTCGTGCCGGCTGACGCATGCGCAGATACGTTTTTTCACATTTTCCAGCCCCCGCGGCCATTTTGAATCACTCCAGTACAGCCATGGATCTATTATATTAACTGGATAGGGTATTACTAGCTTGTAGCTGAAGAACTCATGTGCTCGGGGGATTCTCGCGGTACTGCAGACTAGACCAGACTAAATTCACGTGGGCTACCCAGAAATTTTCCCCATAGAACTCAATGCATATTAAAACAGCTCAACCTCAGCTGACAAAGAACCTACAGCTTTAATAAAGGTCGGATTTTGTGGGGATTTTAGTGTCCCTTGTCATCCTGAACTTTTTTTCTTCTTAAATCCTTCGGTTTTCTTTAAATCCACACTTTAGTGCCACAAACTCTGCTCGTCTGGCTCTCGCCCTAACTCCCGCTCTGATGAACTGCTCTGATTGGTCAGAGCGCGGCCGAGCCCCTCTGTGCACGTGCGCAGAACCGGGAGGACCAGACGATGCCCAAATACAGGCGAGTTTCCCATAGATCTTTGCGAGTTTCCCATAAATCTTTGCGAGTTCCAGGCGACTTCCGCAAATCTTTCAGCCCCCATGCTGTCACAAAGCGCCACTGAGCACAACCATTCATTTGAATAGGGCGCCATCTTGGATCGCCAGGGCTTGAGTACATTAGTTAGAACGGCGGAGATAGGCGTGACTACGTTTGTTAATATATATACAGTCTATGGTTCGAACAATAAAGAGAAATCAGAAGGTCTCATAAGTCTCCATCTTCCGGTCCTCAATAGCGTGTGTTGCCCTTTAACATCTATGCCAGCTCTCGTATCTCTCCGATCTCTCTCTGGTCTCTTTCCGACTGTCTCTAGTCTCTCTCTTTGGTCTCTCTCTCCGGTCTCACAATCTCACTCTGGTCTCAATCTCTGGTCTCACTTACACACTTCCAGGCCACACACGATTGATAAACAAGGGGGAAAATCCTCCACAACAGTTCTGGCCAAGGTGTAGACCCTTGAGGGACCCCACAGATGAGCCGGGCTTCGCCTTTACAGTGGATGAGATCTGACAAGAAATATTTAGTCTATGCCTGGTTCAGACTTTGACTCATGTGTCTTTCTTTCACAGCCTTCCACAGAGCCATTCTTCAGCTGGTACCCATCAAATCAGGACTCAAACCTGGATTCTGTCCAAGACACGAACTCGGACCAGGACACAGACCAGTACACAGACCTCGATGAGGACCAGGACTTGCTCCGGTCTCAGCGTGGGGAGGTGGGTCATGACGAGGAGAACAGACTGAGTGAAGCTCTCAGTGTCGTTGCAGGAGGTCTACAGTCTGTGAGCCGAGAGAAAGGAGGCTTCGGCTTCAGGTTTGGAAGAAGAGGTCTAAGCCGGATCTGAACCGATTCTAAACCGAGTTTCGAGTATGAAACCAGGTCTTAACTAGATCTGAGCAAGGTCTAATTCCAGACTAATATATCCAGTCTAACGGTTTTTCATGTACTCTGTAAATTGCTCTTTTTTTCCCCCCTACCAGTCACAGATCAACAGGAGTCCCTTCTAAAACACACGTGTCAAACAAGTTCCAGAAAGGGCCAGTGTAGCAGGAACACAACAGACTCCACCCATTTCCTTAGGTCTCCAAGTCAAAACTGGGCTCACTTGAATAATAATAATAATAATAATAATGTTACAGCACTTTTTATGAAAGATGCTTATTCATTATTAATTTTCTGCCCTAGTGCACACAGACAGAAGCAAGGCAACGAGTGTGTGCCATCGGCCCCTACGAACACCACCAACCATTCACACATCTCACTCTAATGTGGGTCTGGCCAAAGGACACAACAACAGTTTAGCACTTTACCTACTGTGGCACCTGGTTTTCCCAGAGGTCTCCCATCACACGGCTAACCAGATCCTGCTTAGCTTTTGAGGTCTGATGGGATCGGCGTTTCATTTTGCAGGTGGCGCCAGTGTTTCTGTCCAAACACTCTTTCCACACAGAGCTTTTGTCTAACCTCCCGCCGTGATGGTTCCAAAGTGAAAAGACGACACAAACTTGTGAATACTCAGACACCCAGAGAGAGACCAGAGAGAGACCAGAGAGGGACCAGAGAGGGACCAGAGAGGGACCAGAGAGGGACCAGAGAGAGACCAGAGAGGGACCAGAGAGAGACCAGAGAGGGACCAGAGAGAGACCAGAGAGAGACCAGAGAGAGACCAGAGAGAGACCAGAGAGAGACCAGAGAGAGACCAGAGAGAGACCAGAGAGAGACCAGAGAGAGACCAGAGAGAGACCAGAGAGAGACCAGAGAGAGACCAGAGAGAGACCAGAGAGAGACCAGAGAGAGACCAGAGAGAGACCAGAGAGAGACCAGAGAGAGACCAGAGAGAGACCAGAGAGAGACCAGAGAGAGACCAGAGAGAGACCAGAGAGAGACCAGAGAGAGACCAGAGCCAATTTCCCATTGACATGAACGAGCTGACTCCGTTCTACTCCACCCTTTTCTCATCCCTCCTCTTTGAACAAAGTTGAGCTGCTGTGGTGGTGGGAGTGCCTTGCCTGAGGACACGGCAGCAGAACTCAATGCACGAGAATTGAACCTGTGTTTCTGATGTAGATAATTCGTGTTTGTAAAATGTGAATAAAGATTGAATGCTGCAGAAATGAGTTTGAAGTCATTCATTCACACCAGGGGTCCAAAAGAGTCAGAGCCTTGTCTTACACAAAAGATAATAAAGAGACGAGGACAGCAGGTTGTCCACACATGACTTATGAGTCTAACCCCGGCCCTTCTTTCTAAACACACTGTTTCAAACTGTGATCAAGTTGAAGTGTTTTGCTTCCTCTCGTCACACGTGATGGCAAGGCAAGGCAAGTTTATTTATATAGCACAATTCATACACAAGGCAATTCAAAGTGCTGAACAAAACAAGAAAGCATTAAAATCATAAATAATCACAGAACATTAAAAAGAAAGATACAAACATAAAATCCCTCAGTTGTATGCACAGCTAAACAGAACTGTCTTAAACCTGGTTTTAAACATTGTCATTGAGGAGGCCTGTCTCACATCTTCAGGAAGACTGTTCCAGATTTTAGCAGCATGAATCTGAAAAGCAGCCTCCCCATGTTTAGTTCTGACTCTGGGCACTAACAGGAGTCCAGTCCCTGTGCTCCTCAGAGTCCGGGCTGGTTCATATGGTACTAACATGTCACTAATATATTTTGATGCGAGGCCATGGAGAGACTTGTACACAAGCAGAGCTGTTTTAAAGTCTATTCTCTGAGCCACAGGAAGCCAGTGCAGAGACCTGAGGACTGGACTAATGTGGTTGTACTTCCTGGTTCTAGTCAGGACTCGAGCTGCTGCATTTTGAATGAACTGCAGCTGTTTTACAGCCTGTTTGGACAGACCTGTGAGCAGGCCATTTGATGCATGTGATGCAGTTAGACAGAAAATAACATGAAATAAAGGAAGTGCTTTAGTCTTAAACATCAAAGAAAACAATTCTTGCTTGAAATACCAAAAGAATATGGCGAGAAATGACAGAAAATGTTTTATTAAATTAAAACAAAAATACCAAGTCACTAGTTCCTGGCTCTTAAACAGAAAGGCTAGGTCTGGTCAAGGTCTGGTCAAGGTCCAAGTCTAGATGTTTTGCTTCTGGCCAATGTCACATCTTCAGATCAGCTTTTGCTGACAAAAGTGAAAGAGAGAACTGCCCTCCCTCAACCAATCAGCTCTCAGACCAAAGAGAGTTATTCAAGAGACTAAAGTCAAGTACCCCAGCTTTAGACATATGTCATTTATGAAGCTAAAACAAAGATCAACAAATCTAATTCAAATTTTATTGACAAACCTGTTGAGTCAAAAACAATACATGAATAAGTAAACACTCATTGTGTGTGTGTCTAAGTACATTCAAACAGGACAGAAGATTACAACTATACCAGTAGAAAAAAACACCAAATACCCATTGAGAATTACAGGTTATTAAATATTGTATCTCAAACAGAACTTTGCCATAAACAGAAGCAAAAACAAAATCAGTACAATTTGATGCAGATGAAAAAAAGCATACAAATGGTTCATTTGTCAATGATCAGGGAATAAGAGGGTCTTTTGTGGAATTTCCCCTAAAGACTGAAGCTCATGAGTGCTCATTCCTTATATGGCTTATACGAGCGCCATAGACTTTAAAAGACAATAGCTGCATTTCCAATGACCATCATAAGTCAAAATTTGATTTTTGCAAATGAGAAAATACCAAATGGAAACACATGCCTTTTGAACAAAGATATATATATTTTTTCAAATAAAGGTTTCCTGGAAATACCAAAATATTTAGCTTTTATACAAAGCTAAATACCGATTTAGCTTTGTATAAAACCAAGAATAATTAGCATTACATTTGGAGGGTGCTCTTAAAAATAACATGGAAATAATATTTCAGGGTTCAGGGTTAAGAGTCATAGACCTCAGCTGACAGAACCTACAGCTTTCATAAAGGTTAGTTTTTGTGGGGATTTAAGTGCCCCTCGTCATCCTGGACTTTTTTCTCATTAAATCCATCAGTTTTCTATAAATTTACACTTTAATGCAACAAACTCTGCTCGTTTGGTGGTCGAGCCCCTCTGTGCACGTGCATGAGAGCCACACCACGGGAGCTCGTCCACTGCTCCCGACCGGGAGGACCAGACGAGCCCCAAATATGGGCCATGGTTGGATAAGTCTGTGGTCAGCATGAGCGAGTTAGCATTCTTTGTTTTTATAGTTTGTGGGATAAACGCTCTGTCTGTTTGCAGGTGAGCTTAATCTGCAATGTCATAGGTTTTGATGGGGCCGTGTCGTGATGACAACTTTTGAAATAGCCAATCAAATCAAGTTTTTTTTATTTTCTATTAAAAAAAGGTTTTCAACGAATGTGTTGTTTCTGGTGAAGTCGGAGCTCTTTCTCTTCATCTCTCTTCATCAGAATTCAGCAGAGGCACTTCTACAGTCACGTTGTCAGAGCTGGAGTTCTTACTGGAGCCATTGGAGCCTACAGCAAAGAGAAGACAGTTTAAGCGTATGCACACAATATTAGAGAGACCAGAGTGAGAGACCAGAGTGAGAGACCAGAGAGACGGACCAGAGTGAGAGACCAGAGTGAGAGACCAGAGAGACGGACCAGAGAGACGGACCAGAGAGAATTACCGGAGGGAAATACCAGAGAGAGACCAGAGAGAGACCAGAGAGAGACCAGAAAGTGCTTTAGTGGGACATGAGAGGAACACAGGTGGAAGTTACTCACCAAGGGCTGAGTCCTGGGAGTTCTGGTCCTCGTCTTTCTGCAGTTTTTCAGAGCTTCCGTCAGGACTGGCGTTGACAGGGTGCTTGTTCACGCTTGGGTGCTCCACAGGAACTTCAGGAGAGAGCAGAGTGTAACGCGTTAATTATATGTTCTTTCTGTTTGAGATATGTCAAGGTGTACCTTCAATTGAATCTTGAAGGTACACAATAACCATCTCCTGAAAGTGACTTGCTATTATTAAAATGTAAGCTTATAAAAGGGACATAACCTTTTGTTGTTTGCACTGTGATAAATCATGACCCCTGTGGTTTTTTGTTCAATATGAAATGTTGAACAAAATCAAATCAAGTTTTTTTTTTTTTCTATTAAAAAAAGGTTTTCAACGAATGTGTTGTTTTTGGTGAAGTCGGAGCTCTTTCTCTTCATCTCTTTTTACCAGAATTCAGCAGAGGCACTTCTACTCCTCCCACGTTGTCAGAGCTGGAGTTCTTACTGGAGCCATTGGAGCCTACAGCAAAGAGAAGACAGTTTAAGCGTATGCACACAATATTAGAGAGACCAGAGTGAGAGACCAGAGAGACGGACCAGAGAGACGGACCAGAGAGACGGACCAGAGAGACGGACCAGACAGAATTACCGGAGGGAAATACCAGAGAGAGACCAGAAAGGGCTTTAGTGGGACATGAGAGGAACACAGGTGGAAGTTACTCACCAATGGCTGAGTCTTGGGAGTTCCGGTGCTCGTCTTTCTGCAGTTTTCCCACGAGAACTTCAGGAGAGAGCAGAGTGTAACGCGTTAATTATATGTTCTTTCGGTTTGAGATATGTCAAGGTGTACCTTCAATTGAATCTTGAAGGTACACAATAACCATCTCCTGAACGTGACTTGCTATTATTAAAATGTAAGCTTATAAAAGGGACATAACCTTTTGTTGTTTGCACTGTGATAAATCATGACCCCTGTGGTTTTTTGTTCAATATGAAATGTTGAACAAAATCAAATAAAGTTTTTTTTTATTTTCTATTAAAAAAAGGTTTTCAACGAATGTGTTGTTTTTGATGAAGTCGGAGCTCTTTCTCTTAATCTCTTTTTACCAGAATTCAGCAGAGGCACTACAGCCACGTTGTCAGAGCTGGAGTTCTTACTGGAGCCACTGGAGCCTACAGCAAAGAGAAGACAGTTTAAGCGTATGCACACAATATTAGAGAGACCAGAGTGAGAGACCAGAGTGAGAGACCAGAGAGACGGACCAGAGAGACGGACCAGATAGACGGACCAGAGAGACGGACCAGAGAGACGGACCAGAAAGAATTACCGGAGGGAAATACCAGAGAGAGACCAGAAAGTGCTTTAGTGGGACATGAGAGGAACACAATTGAATCTTGAAGGTACACAATAACCATCTCCTGAACGTGACTTGCTATTATTAAAATGTAAGCTTATAAAAGGGACATAACCTTTTGTTGTTTGCACTGTGATAAATCATGACCCCTGTGGTTTTTTGTTCAATATGAAATGTTGAACAAAATCAAAAAGTTTTTTTAATTTTCTATTAAAAAAAGGTTTTCAACGAATGTGTTGTTTTTGGTGAAGGAGCTCTTTCTCTTCATCTCTTTTTACCAGAATTCAGCAGAGGCACTCCTACAGCCACGTTGTCAGAGCTGGAGTTCTTACTGGAGCCACTGGAGCCTACAGCAAAGAGAAGACAGTTTAAGCGTATGCACACAATATTAGAGAGACCAGAGTGAGAGACCAGAGAGACGGACCAGAGAGACGGACCAGAGAGACGGACCAGAAAGAATTACCGGAGGGAAATATGTAGCCAATCTGCTGCAATTAAACACGTATTAAATAAATAACCAATACCATATAGAATATAGGACGCTTATAGTTACAATGCAATAGAATTTGGTCTTAGGCTATTCAAATGGACTAGGCTAGAAGACTAGGTGTCGGCTCGGAGAGAGGAGGCAGAGACGGTAACTTGCTTTTTGGTTGGTACCGTATATTATGCATAAAAAGTTAACAAAGACAGACAACACATTGAGAATGGCCATTCAAGTAGAAACAACAGTATTTACACAGTAGAGAAACCATAATCCCACATCAATTATATACAAGGTGCAGTGTCCACAAAGCAAAGTAAGCGGAGCGATCCTTTAACTCCTACTTAAGTGTAGTATTCGCACAGGTGGCAACAGTTCAACACGACCCGGGGTCAGGTTTGAGTATCCAGGGTAAGGTAGTGACCCATGGGGAAGAGTGAGTGAATGAGCATGAGAGGGCCGGAGAATGAAGGTGCGAGTGAGTTGTGAGGGTGGCTGCGAGAGCCTCCTACCAGCCCGGACAGAGCAGGAGGTTGGGGTTCCTGGTAGGAATCTCCAGGTGGAGTGATACTTCTTCTTCAGGCTAGAATCCTGTTTCGGTAGCTCGCCATCAACCATAAAAAGCCTGGCCAAGTCCACTTTTATCCTAACACCTGGCTCATATGTCACGGTCCGGCACTGGAAGTTGGCTCCTGCAGCAGCAAATGCTTGGGCTTCCCTCACGTCTACCGGTAACTTCCGGGTAGCGGATAATAAAGGGACGTGATTGGCGGGACGTGGTCACATGACCCTAATCTCGCGATAGCACGCAACTAAGCATAGATTAGGAGAAGGGCATGAACGTATATTCAGAGTGAATTCGGCACCTGTGTTACAAATACCAGAGAGAGACCAGAAAGTGCTTTAGTGGGACATGAGAGGAACACAATTGAATCTTGAAGGTACACAATAACCATCTCCTGAACGTGACTTGCTATTATTAAAATGTAAGCTTATAAAAGGGACATAACCTTTTGTTGTTTGCACTGTGATAAATCATGACCCATGTGGTTTTTTGTTCAATATGAAATGTTGAACAAAATCAAATCAAGTTTTTTTAATTTTCTATTAAAAAAAGGTTTTCAACGAATGTGTTGTTTTTGGTGAAGGAGCTCTTTCTCTTCATCTCTTTTTACCAGAATTCAGCAGAGGCACTCCTACAGCCACGTACCCACTCGTCCTGGAGTGGGCCCCCCTCTGGAAATCCTGTCGGCCCCCACGTTCCGGACCCCGGGACGTGGGCGCCTGAGAGACAGGAGGTGAAGCGGCCGCCCACAGGCAGCTTCACCGTCGCCATGCGATGGAGAGCGGGGGACTGGTGCCCCCTGCCTGTTCAGATAGGAAGACCCTGTGATGTAGTCTGAGCGCACCATCAGAACTGATGTTCGATGTGCCACTTGGGGAACCCAGATCAGCCTCCCGATCCCGGAGGGGTGAAGCCTGAGGGTGAGAACACCTCTGAAAATTCCCTTTTTATTGAGAAGGCTAGCCGCAACCACCGCATGAGCCGCCGCATTCATTACCAGCAGGGGACCTGAGGCGCCGCGCGGGGGACTACTGGGGCCGCCGAACCTCCATGGGCAGACGTGTAGTGTTCCTCCGTTGTCCCCGGACAATGCAGACTGATATGTCAAGAGTCTACCTGCAGCCGGATAAATCAAGCGTTGAGCGGGCTGCAGCTAGAATTTTCCATGTTTACACAAAGCCCAGACGCTGTATGTGGACCAGGACCCAGTGCGTATGACTCACGGCACTTCCTGGATGAGGCAAATTAACCCGTCGTCTATGTAGGTTTAAAATTCTTACCCTGCGCGCTCTTGAGCGGCTCCAGTGCTGCCTCAACGCCACTTGGGAAAAAGTGCGAGGCGCGATGTGCGTAGCCCAAGGGGAGACGGCCAGTAAACCGTACTTCCTCTTCCCACTGCGAACGCAGAACCTCCTGTGATCCGGCACTATCGGCACGTGAAAGTACGCATCTGTCAGGTCTATGGAGGATATCAATCTCTGCCTGAACACTCGAGGAGCTGCTTTGTGGGCAGCATCCGAAACTGCCGTTGGAAATTCACACGTTCAACACGCGCAGATCAAAATGGGACGCACCCGCCTGACTTCTTTGGCACTAAGAATAAGGGGAGTACAGCCTGGTTGGTCCTGCGGGGTCTACATCCACTGCTGCGCCTCGACTCCGCAGGAGGAGACCTCCGCTTGCGTGCTCTAATGATCCCGTACCTGAGAGCGTGGCTGCCCGTACGGCCTCGGATGGTGGAGGCTTCGGGAGAATGCAGTGCGTAACCCCTGCGAATGTTTTCTCCGCCACAGATCCGTCAGCCACTTGCTCCCTCCAGATGCTGTAGAAGGTCTGTGAGGGGCGGGATCGGGAGCTGGAACACGAGACGTCACGCCCGCCCATCTTCTGGTGTTCCTAGCAGGAGGGGGGTGGACGAAAAGGGGGGGGGTGCCCCCTGCGTCCACGTGAGCGCCGGGGCGGTCACGTGTCTTCAGGCCCGACGTCCATGAGTACGGGAACTGCTCATCCACGTGACTCGGCTGCTGTGCCCCCCCTGGCCTTTCGTCCACCCCCCTCCTGCTAGGAACACCAGAAGAGGGGCGGGGCCGTTACGTCTCGGTGTTTCCAGATCCCGTTCCGCCCCTCACAGACTTCTACAGCATCTGGAGGGAGCAAGGTTTGCTGGGGACGGATCTGTGGCTGGAGAAACATTGCGCAGGGGTTACGCACTGCATTCCCCGGAAGCCACCACCATTCGAGGCGTACGGGCAGCACGCTCTAGGTACGGGGATCATTAGAAGGCACTGCAGCGGAGGTCTCCCTCCGCTGCAGTCGAGGGCAGCAGTGGAGGTAGACCAGCAGGACGCCACCAGGGTCTGTACTCCCCTTACTTCTTAGTGCCAAAAGAAGTCATGCGGGGTGCGTCCCATTTTGGATCTGCGCGTGTTGGACCCGAGTGCATCCCAAACGGCAGTTTGGATGCAGCCACAAAGCAGCTCCTCGAGAGTGTCAGGAGGGTGATTGAATATCACTCCATAGACCGACAGATGCGACTTCCCACGTGCCGATAGTGGCGGAAAACAGGAGGTTCTGCGCTTCGCAGTGGGAGAGAGGTATTACCGTTATGCCGTCTCCCCTTGGGCTACGCACTCGGCTCGCACTATGTACCAGTGCGTGGAGCAGCACTGGAGCCGCTCAGACGCGCAGGGGTAAGAATTTTAACCTAATTGACGACGGTTTAATTTATGGCCTCATCCAGGGAAAGTGGCCGGAGAGTCATACGCACTGGGTCCTGTCCCACATACGCGTCTGGGCTTTGTTGGAAAACAGGGAGAAATTCAAGGCTGCAGCCGCTCAACGCAAGACTTTATCTAGGTCTGCAGTAGATCATGTGACATTCCGTGCTGCATTGTCCGTGGGACAGACGGATGACACTACCCGACCTGCCCAGGGAGGTTCTGGCGGGCCCCAGAGTCCCCGCTCGGCGCCTCTGGTCCCTGCTGGGAATGATGCGGCGCTCATGCTGTGGTGCGGTAGGCCATCTCCACATGAGGAATTTTCAGAGGTAGGGTTCTCACGCCTCAGGGCTTCACCCCTCCGGGACGGGGGAGGCTGATCTGGGTTCCCAAGTTGGCAGCATCGAAATCAGGTCTGATGGTTGCGCTCAGACAAGCATTCACAGTGGTCTCCTATATGAACAGGCAGGGGGGGCCAGGTCCCCCGCTCTCCATCGCATGGCGACGGTGCGCTGCTGTGGGCGGCGCTTCACCTCCTGTCTTCTCAGGGGGCGCGCCAACGTCCCGGGGGTCCGGAACGTGGGGGCCGACAGGATGTCCAGGGGGGGGCCCACTCCAGGACGAGTGGGGCCTGGGCCCCACGGGTAGCTGCGGGATCTGGCGTGAGGTTCGGCCGTTCCTGTGGTCGACCTTTTGCCAGTGCAGGAATACGCACAGTGCCGTCCTGGTTGCCTAAGGCCCCTGGCAGGGGCCTGCTGTACGTTTTCCCACCAGTGCGTTCCTGCGGTCTGTGCGGCGGATCAAAAACAGGAGAGTGAGGTCGGTGATCTGGTGGCTCGGACAGTCGCCATGCCCGGTGGTTCCCTTCCTGAGGGCATGGCGGGTGATGGAGCTTGGGCCTCCCGGCGAGCCCGGGGGCTCTAGTCCAGGGGGGAGGAGCCCTGTTTTCACGCCTTGGATAAACGGCCCGCAGGCTCTGGTTTGAGTCTGAGAGGCGGAACCTTCGTAGACTGGGTCTTCCCCTGCGGTGGTGGAGACCCATTCAGGGGGCGAGGGGCGTCCACTGTGAGGGCTACGCCACGAGGTGGAGGCACTTCAGCGACTGGTGGCGGTTTCCCCGTTCCTGGGCTTCCAGGCGCTTGCCCCGCTGGAGGGGGTCCTGGGGATTATCCTAAGGGCTCTGTTGACAAGGGGAGGGCTTGTCCGCCACCATGGCGGTTTGGTTCGGCGAGGCAGCCATTACTTCGGCGACACGATGGATTCGGGGGTTCACAGCCCGCTGTCATCGTTGGTTTAAACGTTTTCAGCGGGGGGGGGGCGCGCAGGAGGAGGCCCCCGCTCCAGAGAAACGCCCCCGGTTTGGGACTCAGGGTGGTCTTAGGGGGATGTGGGTCCCGCCTTTTGACCCGGAGGCTGCAGGCGAGTCCGAGAGTGTCGCCTTTTAAGACGGCCCTCTTGTTGGCGTCTTGGCGGTATCTGCTAAGAGGGCGGGCGACTTGTGTGCGCTCTCGTCCATGCGTGCTTGCCTGTCATTTGGAGAGGGCGACGGCTATGGTGAAATTGTGGCCCAATCCGGCTTTTCTCCCAAAGGTCAATCACGTCGGTCTTTTAGGTCGAAGAGCGTCATCAGGCTTAGGGCTTTCAATCCGCCACCGCATCTTCCTCCGAGGAGGAGCGGCGGCACCTTCTGTGTCCTGTCAGAATGCTGAGGCATCTACCAGGCCATGCGTCGTCATTCAGGTTGGGTGGTAGCTGTTTGTGTGTCTGGGCCCAAGGACAGGGGCGCCACGCTGGCGGGTCCTAGCTGGCTGTCGTCCTCCTCTTTCGTCCGGTCTTATCTTGCTGTGTCGGGACCGCGTTTGTGGCCCATTCCGTGCTGAGAGCAGCGGATGAGTTGACGTAGGTCCCTCCTCTGAGGGGGCCTTCGGTTTTACGTTCCGCCTGGTTCGGAGCTCTTGGGAGAGGCATCCTACAGGTGCGGTACATTATTTGTGTTGTTTGGGTCGGTTCAGGTAGTCCACGTCAGGGCTCTTGGGAGAGGCCGTCCTGTGACTACGGAAGACCTACGGTCTGTGTTACGTTGGGGGGGTATCCTTGGTAGGAGTGGCCCTGTACACGCTTGTTTTCTTCTGCCCTGCGTCCTTCACTGTTTGAGGTCTAGCTCGAGCGGAGCTCCAATCACCCTTTGCTGGCTGCTGGGAGTAACATTTACCTACGGCCTTCGCGTGTGTCCCCACTAGCGGATAGTCCTAAGGGAGTGCACCATGACGTAGAAATTAATAGTTACCTAATGTAACTTAAGTTCTCACGACTTGGTGCGTTAGTCCCTTAGCTACGAGCCCATCAGGCCAGCCCGGCCATGTGGCAGAGTTCAATGAGGGGTGCGGCCTTGTAGCAGGGGCATTTATGAGGACGGGGCTGGTGATGGAGCAAAATTATTTGATCTCTCTGGCGGGTGACACTGGGGGTCACGAAGTTGATATACCTACTAGCGAAGTCCTAAGGGACTACGCACTCCCCCCATTCGTATAACTTTCAAAGTTACTTTAGGTACTATTATTTTATTATTTGTAAGGGTACCAGCGTTGAAAATGTGCTTGAAAGGTAAAACAAGAAACAGCGTACAAGTTCTTCCACAGGTCTATAACATGGGGCCATATTTTTCCCCCAAAAAAAATTGTCGCCTCTATTCACCACCTCTTTGATGAATTAACAGTCTTGTTAGGCTCCCAGCTTGCAGTGTGTGTGTATGTGTTGTGTGTGTGTGTATGCGCGCGCTGCAGTACCCCCCTCCCCTTTCTTTCCTCTTCTCCCCTCTCCTCTCTGTCAGTGGTATTTATTGCCCCGTAGGCAGGACGGCAGGCACAACTTGGATGGGGATGTGAGCGCGGCGCAGTTGCAGTGCAAGCGCAGAGGACACGCAGCGGAGAACCAGGACGGGACCTAGCACGAGCACACGGATCGACAACGGGGAAGAAGCACATACAGGTACATGGCGTCAGATCGGCAGCCGTCAGCAGCAGCCTGGTCGCAGGGCCTCCGGAAAGCATGCGTCGCATCTTTTATGACATCGAATTAACGGGCACGTATGATGTAAACCTGCCAGCGCTCGTGCTTCCCACATCACAACACACCTGGAGTTGTTTTAGGCTCCATCTATGCTCACCAATAGACATTTTCAGATGCTCCCCCCCTTCATGGAACGCTCTATGTTGAATCTTTATGATCTGTGAGTCATTGGACAGAGTGTATTGAGAACTTTTCTGCCCTTTTAAACAGAGGCATCGACTTGTATTTGGGGGTTTTAATTCGCCGCCGTTCACTGAACAACAAGA